TAAAATTTCAACAGTAGTCGAGAATACAACAATCCGTTCTTCTTTGCTTTTGCATGATCTATGTCTCTAGCAATCGGTGAGCTCATTCCTTCCTCCCCCGACTACACTCAAGGTCTCCGCTGAGTGGTAAGTTCTTTCCTTCTCCCCTTAGACAACGGTGACAGTGTAGTCGGCCCTTCTTTTTAGCGGACCGCTTCGACAAGTGACGCAACACTTACTTCTGTGACTTCTAGTGTGATGTGACACATTCAGACGAAATCAAGCCATCACACCGATGTCTTCAGTTGTTCAAGAACCAGGCTAAACTTGGGCAATGATTTATTTCCTACTTTCAACATTTTTTATTTACCTTCTTTTGTCATTTATTTATATTTTACAATAAGTTATTTTTGTTTCATGCATATTTCAATTGAAATGAGTAGAACTAATTTAAAACTTGATAAATGATCTTTGCTCTTTTGAATCCTTCGAAACTCGTCTAAGATCAAAGCAAAGATAATTTTTAACTTATTTTCTATTAATTTTCATAGTTGAATTTTGATGTATTTAGATTCTTGATATTTCATGAATAACAAGTATTTTTCTATTTTCAAAAATAAAATCACTGAGATTAAAAGTTGATTAATGAGCATTCAATAGTTAAAATAAATTAAAGAAGACATTCACGGCTGACCTCATGTCATGCGTGTCAATTCTCGAGCATACATTTGTTTGAGAAGAATGGTCACTATGAAAATGGGTTGATTGTATTTCTCTATTTCTTTATTATCATTTTATTTCTTTCTGTCCCTGTCTCATGAAATCTCTTCTTCTCTCTCCCTATCTCATGAGATTCTCTCCCTTTCTCTCGATCAATCTCATTCTCTCTCTCCCTCTCTCTCCTCTCTCTCTCTTGTGAAACTTTTCTATCTCCATCTCACATGAGATGTCCTCTCTCTTTCTCTCTTTTTTCACGAGAGATCTCTACTCTCGTCGTTTGTGAGAGCTCTCTCTTCTCTTTCTCTTTTCCTCCTTCCTCTTTTCGCTTCCCTTCCTTTATCCTTCTCACCTCACCCTTTTATTTTATTATTTCTATTAAATATTAATAAAATATTAAAATCACTTTATATATAAACTAAATTTATTTTCACGACAAATTAATCAATCGCCTTATGTTTGACATGAGACTTACTTTTATACTCATATTTTATTAAGTCTTAATTATAAATATTATTAAATAATGATCATTTAAACACAATGACAAGTACACATTAGTGTGTGTGGCACAAGATAGCACAACACTAATGACATAGGACACACCATAATGCACAATAGTGTGTGGGGTACATAGCATGGTGTAAGATAGTTCATGTGTGCATGAAGGGTGCAGGATGACATGAGATGTCATGTAATAGTGTAAACACATGACTGAGTGCTCAACATATGGAGAGTTGTGTATAATAGATGCATGTAATTCATGTGTGTATAATATAAGTGTCTCATCTACTTGGATCTCCCCCCGATAAATAGAGTAACCATTGGCAATGCCTAAGGTAGTAAGCGTAGATACTTGGGTCATCACTCTCCTATACTAACTTGTTGTGAGGTAAAATGTCTTCTTGTTTTCTTATATGCTTCTATAAGGTCTCCATTGAGTGTGAGGTTATGTGACATTGAGGAAACTTGTAAATGCCAACAATGGAGTGTGAAATTACTTTTGAGTAGTCCGCATTCATGAAGTGGAGAAAGTCAACAATCATTTACTTAATGAGCAACACCAAACTTTGATGGTATATATACATAAATGACCAAATAAGAGACCTCATTGACATCTAGGAGGCATTCACTTGGGAACTAAAGTAATTCCTATGACTTGTCTAGAAGGCATATGACACATTTTGATATTTGAAGCACTCAAGTTAGGTGTAGGAGTATGTGAAGAAATTTAATTTTCTACTCAACAAAAAAATATATAATAGAAAAAAATGCTTCAATTTTATGTCAACTTTACTGCCATAGGCACATGCAAAGCTATCACATTATGGAAAAAGGAACATACATAAGATGAGGGTGCTAATAGATGATTTTATTGACTATTGAATACTCAATGTAATGATTTAATGATATTGAGAACAAATAATAGGACACATAGAAGGTGATAAATTGGAGAGATGGTCACCACAGGAAACAATATGGTGACAATTATGGGCTGGACACTAACAATGACCAAGAGAAACTCAAGACTAATGCAATACAACATGGATGAACAAATAACAAGTGTTTTACCTACATGGGCCATCAATGTAATGGAGGCCCAAGACATGGTGACAACATATGACTTGGGGCCAATATCAATGGGCAGATTACCATTGCAATGATTGACAATAGGGCCAACCACAACTTTCTCTCAAACAAGGAGGTTTCTTTATTCAGCCTAATGTTGTCACAAGGAAACAATCAAATCAAGAGCATCAACTCAATGTTAGGCTGTGTGTAAGACTGTATTGAAGATTGGGGCATAGGAAGGTGCTATCAATTTCACATTGTTGCCAAAATATTATTTTGACGCCAGCTTCAACATAAAGTTCTTAATTAAGTCACAAGTAGGAATCAATACATATGTACATAGTGTATGGCTTTAAAAAGGACTGAACTTGTGCTTCATCATAAGAACTTGAGAGACATGATTGAACTTAAAAATGCTATTAGCATTGCAACTTTGGGACGATTTATAGATGGATGAGGAGACCTACCTCATGACCCTTTGAGAATAAGAAAATGGACTCCCTTTGAGCCTCAATATGATAGGAGAAAACTTGATGAGGTCATCGCCTCATCATCCACACCCTGTAGGTGACGAAGTTGACCATCACCCTCTTTAGCTGCCCCTAGAGATGAATAGGTACGAAACAGAGATGATTTTAGAAGATGAAAGAGCAGAACAAAAGGCAAAGCACTTTCAAAAGACTCATAATGGTCCAATTTTGAAGTGAGGATGAGTCTTAGAGTTTGATATGTTCTAAGGTTTGTATCCTAGATTTTGACCCACTCTAAGGTTTGTTATCCTTCTTATCCTCATGATATTTTAGCATCTCCCTTGAGTCCTCTAACTCCTCTCTTTCTCTCTCATCCTAATATTCAATTCCTCGTCTATTGATGATATTTTAGTAGAAATTATCCTTTCCTTTGAGAAGAGATTGTCCACAGGTTTTGGGTTATAGTGTTGCTATTAGTACTACTACATCAAGCTAACACAACAATCCCTCCTCATGTGGATCAAATGACTGAGAGGACATCTCAATCCCTTTATAGTTACAAAATGTCTCAATTGCCTCCTAATGTGCACTTGCTGTTGTGTTTAAATGTACACTATCTAATAATATTTATAACTAAGACCTAATAAAATACTAGTATAGAAGTAAGTCTCAGGCCGAACACAAGGAAATTGATTAATCCGTTGTGAAAACAAATTAAATTTATATATAAAGTAATTTTAAATATTTTATTAATAGTTAATAGAAATAATAAAATAGAAGGGTGAGGTGAGAAGAATAAAGGAAGAGAAGCGGAGAAAAAGGAGGAAAAGAGAGAAAGAAGAGAGAGCTCTCACGAGAGAGATAAGGGATGAGATCTCTTGTGAAAGGGAGAGAAAGAGAGAGAGGAGGAGAGAGAGCTCTCATGAGAGAGAGAAGGGATGAGATCTCTCGTGAAAGGAAGAGAAATAGAGAGGAGGAGAGAAAGCTCTCACGAGAGAGAGAAGGGACGAGATCTCCCACGAAAGGGAGAGAAATAGAAGGAGATCGATCAAGAGAGAGAGAGAGAAAGGGAGAGATCTCACGAGAGACGGAGAGAGAAGCGAGGTCTTACGAGAGAGGGAGAGAGAGAAATAAGATGAAAAATGAAGAAAGAGAGAAATACGTTCAACCCATTTTCTCGGATGAATGTGTACTCGAGGATTCACACACATGACATAGGGTCAGCCGTGAATGTCTTCAACATGTTTTAACCATTGAAGGCTTATTAATTAGTCTTTAATCTCGATGATTTTGCATTCGAAAATAAAAAAATACTCGTTATTCACAGAACACTAGAAATGTGAATACGTTGAGATTTGACTGCGAAAAGCAATAGAAAATAAATTAGAAATGATCTTAGCTTGATCTCAGACGAGTTTTGGAAGATTTAGAAGAAGAACAAAGATCATTCATCAAGTTTTAAATTAGTTCTACTCATTTCAATTGAAACGTGCATGAAACGGAAAGAACTTGTCGTAAAATATAAATAAATGATAGAAGAGGGTATATAAATGCTGAAAATAGGAAATAAATCATTACCCAAGTTTAGTTTGCCTCTTGGGCAATTAGAGACACTAGTGTGGTGGCTTAGTTTCATTCGGACATGCCGCACCATGCCGAAGGTCATAGAAGTATCGTCTGGAAGCGCTGCGTTGTTTGTTGGAGAGATCTGCCAAAAGAGGGGTTGACTAGTGATAAGTCTTCATTATCATGAGTTAATAATAAGTAAATAATATAGTTTTAGCCTTAACTCATGATAAATAGACTTATATTTGTGTTAAAGTGTGAAAAGTAGTTTTCAGTTGATTAACGTGAATTTTTGGCTAATTATGTGATTTTCTATGAATTTATATGATTTTTACAATCTTACTTTTGAGATAAATGAAGAAAAAGAAATAAAAATAAAAATATAGCAAAATGTGGGGGGACCTGCCAGCCAGTCGGGCCCGCATGCGGGTCGGAAGCACAGTCGGGGAGGAGCCATGAGCAAGGGCTCGAGCAGCTAAGACCGATAGGGGCATGTGTGCGCCACTCCCCTTCCACGTCACCGGTGGCCAGCCGACTGTGGGGCAAGGAGTGGTCATGCACGTGCGAGAAAGGGATTTGATTGCAAATGTAATATTACTATATATTCGCCCAAAACTTCGGCACACAAGCGATGTGGGATTAAACCCACGTCACACCTTCCTTGAAAGGCTTCAATAATTTTAATATTTACAATACCCCTTATTTATAACATAGATATACCATGATGATGTCATTTGATAAGGGCATTAGAGTACTTATTTCAATCTCTCTCATGCAAGCGGACAACTAGTGCAAGTTCGAATCCTCCTAGAGCCTAAACTCGTATTTTTATCTGATTATCGTGACTTTCCTGATCGCTAGTGAAAGATTAAGCCGCCAGAATTACTAGATCATTGGCAAAAATCTCGTCAATGTGATTCGTGGAGCATTGTTACTAAAATTGCTGAATGATTCGCGATAAAAGGATCGTGAATCCATCGAGTAAATCATGTTCGATTGATCGACAAACAAGCTGTCATTGGGAAGAGGATGATCGGCCGGGAGATGAGTCGTCACCTCTTGAGAGCGTACTGGATGCGATGAAGAGCCTCCTCTTACTATGTGGACCTGAGGATGAAGCTCCCTGACATGCGCCCCACCTCCATCTAGCTCCTCTTCATTGGGTGACAATCGTTGGAGAGTTACAAAGTCACCATCTTTCCACTTTACCAGGTGACAACTACTAGAGATGATTTGATGACCCATTTCATTGATCTCTAGACTTCGCTAAGAGATCTAGAGATTGCCCACATCGTCCTTGTCCAAAGAGAGCTTTCGAGGCCATGAACACTGCACAACAATCCTCCTGAACGTTCAGGATTCCGGTGCATCGCCGACGCATCGCCGCCGCGATGCCGGAATTCTATTTTCTTACATTCAACTTAATTTTCACTTCATTTAGTGATAATTTATGTGATTTAAATTTACCAAGATATACTTCATTCAATTATGATTCTTTCGACTTTTACAGATATTAATTTGATCAATTAAATCATCTATAATCGCTTATGTAAGAATCACTAAGCGGAACTCTATTTTCTCTCGATTTGCGTTCGCCGGGTGTTGACGTCATCCTGACGTCCGCACCCTTATTTTCCTTTTTCGTAAATTTTAAATATATTTTATTTTTATTTCCTAGTATAAAATTTATAAAAATAGCATTCTTTGAGGAAAAATTTGAATAATTACCTGATATTATGTTACATCTTTGTGATCGACTTAAAAAATTGCCACTACTTAAAAAAATCATATTTTCTAGTTTTATAAATTTAAAATTTACGTGATTTACTATACAACGACTAAGTCACATCAACTATGCTGTCACCGTCATATGAGGAGAGAAGGAAAGAGCTGACCACTCACTAGAGGCCTTGAGTGTAGTCGGGGAAAGAAGGAAGGAAGAAGCTTGCCGATCGCCAAAGATGTCGATCGTGAAAAAGAAGGAAAGAACAAATTGCCATATTCACAACTATTGTCGGGATTTTAAAGATAATCGATAATATCTTTTTTATTAGACAATAATTGATTATTATCTTTATATCTCTTATGGTGATATGTGTGAGAATTTAAGTTCCTAGTATTGTGGCACTTCACAAGCCGCTGGATCAGATGAACTTGGTCATGTGGCACTCTGAGCAATGTAGGATCAATCTGCCGTGAACCACTGCTGATCAGAAACTTAAGTTCCGATACCATGGCACCTCTATAGCCATTAGATCAGCCTTTAAGGCCATATGTGTGCTAAGCGGCATCGAATTCACAAACTACTGATGGATCACTTTACTCATCTAGTATCGTGGTGGTTTGCCAATAGTAGGATCAGGCTAATCGGATGATGTGGCTCTCTGTGTACCGCTGGATCAGAAAACATTTACTCCCACATCGGAAATATTTCAGAACATATGCCGAATATAAACTAAACCTACCGTCTATTAGTAGAGATCTCTTCTCTCGAAATAAAATAATACCTAGGACCATCTCAAGAGAAGGCAATAAGATGGTCTGCCCTCGCACGCGTACGTGTGTACGGGTGCTCCTTGCCCCACGACCAGTTGACCATCGGTGTCTTAGACTTAGCTGGCCACCGGTGACGTGGAAGGGGAGTGGCGCACACATGCCCCCATTGGTCCTAGTCACCCGAACCCCTGCTCGTGGCTCCCCCCGACTACGCTTCTGACCCACTTGTAGGCCCGGTTGGCTAGCGGGTCCCCTCTTTTTGCTATATTTTTATTTTAATTTCTTTTTCTTGATTTATCTCAAAAATAGGATTATAAAAATCATATAAATGCATAGAAAATTACTTAATTATCTAAAAAAGTCACATTAATCAATTGAAAACTACTTTTCATAGTTTAACAGAAATATAAGTCTATTTATCATGAGTTAAGGCTAAAACTATATTATTTACTAATTATTAACTCATGATAATGAAAACTTATTAGTGGTTTCCTATTATGACAAAAAAAGACATTATATTAACAACTAATAAAGGTAAAAATATTGTAATTGAAAATATTATCAATTTAATTAAAAATATTGTACGTGTGCTCTTAAAAAGGCAAAAATCTCATTTTATATGTGTAAAACTATATACAAATTTATATACAACAAATTTTGCTCAAAAACATTTAATAGGGGTCGCATATAGAATTATGTAACTCTTAATTACAATTGTACATTTGACTACAGTCAAAATAGATAATAATTTGTTTCAATAAATAGTTTTCATGATTAATTCATCATCCTCATAAATGTGATGGTCGGCACACTTGTTAATGCAATAACTTTCCTACTTATACTTAAAGTCCTACTTTAGACAAGAAATTTATTTTCCACTCATCAATGGAATGAATCAAGATTTGATGATGGCTACATTTTGCTTCAAGTTTAGGAAAACATCTAGAGGGTGCAATGTATAAAAGGTATATACGATGACATTCATCCATGTGAATCATATAAGATTTAACTTTGTCAAAATATGCTTTTCAAATTGAAAACATTACAAAGCATAGCTATGTGACTTTTATTTCAAACTCCTCTTTATCTACCCAATCTTCTATGAATTTAGATGTTTCTTAATTTTTAGATCATCACTAAAGAAATCATACTTTTACTATGATGGGAACCAATTATGGCATTACATTACTTTTAGTTTTGGACTACATGTGGTTCTGAACACATTATGGGGTGGATGTGTGTCCTTTGGTGGACACATAAGCTTCCAATACATAATTATTATTTCTTCATAACTTTACGTATTCTAATAAATAATATTTAATCATAGTGATTAGTAATTATAAATATAACCTAAACTATCAAATTCGTGCCATTTAATCCAATACTTGTAGTGTTCATTTATTTACTGATAAAATTTTTATTTTTGGTAAACTATAGTAATTATTCATTGCAACTAATCATTATGATTGTATGAAATAATATTAGATTTCTTCCCTTTAATACTGTATTTTTATGTGCCAGCTTTCTTATAAAGAAGTAATATTCATTATTTATGCATAAAATTTACATTTATGGGTCTAATAATTGTTTTTGATAATTTGTAAGTGTGAATGTACTTAAACATATTATATTCCTGTACTTAATAGGTTACGTCTAAAGTGGTGCCATTTCCAAGGTGAATAAATAGTAGGTACAAAACATTTCTAAAGTTTAAATGTTGGCAATAAATGATACATATTCCTAGCAAAAGTAACTATTATATAAATATCTACTTATACTCACGCCCTCTAAATGATTGTCTTATATTATTATCATTGATTGATATAGTTTCTCTTTTTGCATAAATAATTACACACCTTTATCAATAGTTATGATTACATTAAAAAAGTATTATATTCATGCCCTTAATATGAGGCTTTTAAACTATCATTTTCTTTATGAATAAATAAGAACAATAATAATAAATAATTTAGTCATGAGATTTATGTTTTCTCAATTGGCACTTTACAGATTTTATTTATATTCTTACATGTACATGGTCATGGTCTGTCATCAATCAAACATTTTATCCGTTTCTTTCTATGACACTCATCTTCTTCATGATTTACCTGCAATCTTCCACGTTTTTGGTGAACCTGTTGGAAACATGGTCAGCCTATTTAACAACAGATGATAGAGCCATGAAAAAGAGATAAAACCATCTGACATAAAATAAAAATATGCGAGGTAATTTCAGTGATGTCATGTTTGCAACCACCTTCAAAATTGCATCAATCCGAATGGTCTTTAACAGGGTGCAGGGGGAGCATATCAAGCTTCCAAAAAGAGAAATGAGCTTCGAGTAGGTGGGCTGCTCAACAAATTGTATCTTCTTCACTGCTTCAAGGAATTGTGCGAAAGGAGGGGGACAGCCACCACACAGCGTCTCGGGGGAGGTTACAGTCTTGTTCATGAAGACTAGAAACCTCTTGTCATTCCCCTACATAGTTGGCATAAGAATCAGCAAGTGATGAATCAAAGAGATGGGAGAACATGTACAAGTAGAGGTGGAAGCAAACCTGATAACCTTCCCACGGCAGCCTTCCTTTAATCAAAAAAATCAGAGTGTAGGCCAATGACTCAAGATCATCTCTTCTACTCGCTGTGAGGCCTAAATGTGCATGGACGCTTGCATATCGTGTTGTGCCCCTAGGGAACATGAGATAGATAGTAAGGTAGGGGTAAGATTTTATGAATCCTCATCTTAGCTAAGAATTTAGGGAAAAAATAGAATATCGTTTCCCAAAAAACCTGAAATTATCTGGCTGTTGGCATAATCTGACATGCTGGCCTGACAAACTGTCCCTCCACATTGAAGCTGATTAAAATATTAATGACACCAATTAGCATTTGTACAGGCTCTGAACAAAGCACAAAAATATCACTGATGTTGATACAGACAGGGACTTCTCAGTCAAGACAAATTTGTTTATATACTTGGAAAAACAAACCCTACTCTAAAATCAATAGGCACGAGAGGTGAAAACAAGAAGTGATTGGAATGCAGCAACATACCCAGCCCAAAGTCGATGAGAAAAAGCTTCTTCTCCCCTGAGCTTCCGGGTTTACCCAACAATAAATTCTCTGGCTTGACGTCTCCATGCACAAACCTGGCATGTTTTTTTTTTGTGTGGGTGGAGGGAGGGAGTGCACAAGGGAGCAATGAATTAATTACTGTGACCTTTGCGAAAATATAATTGAAAAAATATCACACTGCCACAAAGCCATACATACCCTTTTTGGTGTAGCTTCTCAAGGATGGATATTGCCTCCACAGCAATACAAGCCACCATATTTGGTGGCATTCTGTCCAAGGAGTTAGTCAAACTCAATAGCACAATTTTCAACAGAATATTGACTTTGAATATGAAGTCAAGATTATTTTCTTACACTTGCCCAATGGATATGAACACATCCAGAAGACTTGGTCCAAGGATGTCCATGATCTGCAGCAATCATCATCAACAATATCATAACTAGCTTTCAATAAAAAATATAATTCGAGGAAACAATAAAATGAAAGACTCTACGCCAACCATGACGAAATAATCTCCTTGGCGGCCCTTGTAGTGCACCCTAGGTAATCCATAGCATCCCTTGAGATGGCTAAAACCATATTCACAAAGTCAGGTGAAGAACATAGTTTTAGATCGACACAATACGTAATAAATTAGAGCAGTAGGGGGTGTCTTCTTACTCATAAACTTGCCATTCATATGGGGGGCCAAATCTGCAACCCGTGCTATTTCTATGCTCAAACTTCAGTGCTACCTACACCCACCGCAGGAAAATGAAAGAGACAACATAAAACAGCAGTATTTAAAGATTCCCGTGGCAGGAGTGATGGGAGGTTGAAACTAAACCTTAAAGGCATTGGGCCCATTGCCCTGAGATCCACCAGCCACCCTTCGTCCAATGTAGACCAGCCCAAAACCTCCTGCTCCCAACATTCTCTCTACCTTGTATAATGGAGAATTTCCGACCTGCACCTGTCGATTTTGGATAGGACATTCCTATTGTCAAGATGTGATGTGCTTTGGGATGGGGAGAGAAAGCTCTCTACAGTCGCCGTCAAGGAAAGGAATGAGGGACGTCGAAGCATGTACCCGATCCGGGATGGGAGACATCCTCGCTTCCTCCTGTAGCCCGACAACCTCGTCCACACTTCCTCCCTCGATTCCAGCTGCTTTCTCAACAGGACAGCCCGCCACCAAGTTCTGATGGCTTTTCTGGGTGGGGAATAACGCTCGGGAGAGGTGCAGGTACGGAGGGTGTTGTTTCCTGCCGGAAATCACCGGGTTCTTCTCCAGACCCTGGTCGATCGCTCAGCGATCTGAAAATCGAATGTGCCCCTTGATTCAACACGCTCACCCGTCACCGTCAATCGATAAACCTTGCTGAAATAATCTTTTCTCCTCCAGACTGTAACACTCATCCGTCCCCAAAGAGCAATCTGATGGAAGTCTAAAGAAGAAGATAGATCCCCCTACCCAGACCAAACATCAAATCGAATCAGCAACGAAGCGGCAAAACAAATCGGAAGAAAGTAAATAAATAAGAGGAAGGAGGAAAGCCAGAGCTTTCTTCAGCAATCTCGCACCACCCGCACCACCGCAGGCAACCGAAAGTCCAAATCAAAGAAAATAAAGATCCCATCGAAAGAGTCCACAAGAAGATGCCCCCGACACAGAGAAAATCACGAACCCATCGAAAGACGGCACTAGAACATAACCCCCGAATCAACGAAAGGCGAGAATTCGTCGAAAGACGGCACCAGAACATACCCGGAGCGGCCTTTCAGGGAAGCAGAAGCCTGGGAACGTACGACCTCTCCGTGAGGCGGCGCCGACCGTGACCTCGGCGTCTTCGGCGGTGGACTCCTCCACCGGATGCGGCCTCCCACTCTTCCTCCGGATTCGCGCACGAGAAAGGGATCCAGAAGAACTCGACGGAGAGGAGAGGAGAAGGCGGCCGGCTGTCCGAACTCCGCCGTGCTTCGTAGAGCGAGGACGCATCCACAGAAAGAAAGCGAGAGCAAGATAGAGTGAGAGAGAGCAGACAGACAAAGGGAGCGAGAAAAGGCGCGAAAGAAAGAGAGATCAATGACAGCCTCACTCTATCACCCGCTCCTCTTTTACGTTCTGCCATTAGGTACGGATCTCCAATTACATTTCTCTCTGGGGTCTGACGTAAATTGTGCCAATTTCTGTTCACGATGTCCATTGAAATGTCGTCGAATCCGTGTGGGCCACGTGTCCCACATCTGCTTAAGTCTCATGCTAACTCGTCGGTTCTGCTTCCACTGTCGACCTGTTGATGGTTTAACTTTTAGCCTCTGAATATTCCGGCCCATTGGGTCACTTGGCTCGGCCCAGCCCAACTCATTCTGATTTTCTTTTATTTTAGACCTTTATTAATTCCTAAAAAATATCAAAAACTCTTAGAAATTATGAGAAATTCTAGAAAAATTCAGAAAATCCAGAATAAATTCTAGAAAATCCTAAAACTCACATAAAAAATATTTCATGCATAATTATGTAAAATTAATTATCTTAAAATAATATTAAAAATATTAAAATGCATGTTTATGTATGAATGAAATCTGAATACGTACGAATTAAATGTAACATGTATTATTTCTATTAACTTTATGCACTAAATATTGATAAATATAAGGTAAATACAGATAATGAAGACTTATCAACCACAACATAATAACTAGACTAAGATGATCTAGTTCAATCGTTTTCGTCCACAATATACTATCATTAGCCATTTATTGTCGCACCACATACCCATGAATACAACCTAAAACTCCTTCATACTTCAAAGAATAATGATCATGGTAAAGAATTCACCTATCTTTTTTTCATGAGATCCACACCCCTAATCTAGAGAAGGTAAACTTTTCTAATTGACTTACCCTTTTAAAGGAGCATTAGGCTTTGTTCATTTAAGCATACGTGTTTGTGCAATAATCAATGCAGCAAATTTTTTAAAATATTCATAACATTTTTGAATTTTTTTTGTTCTCCCCCCTACTTGAATGACGCATTATCTCCAATGCATGCAAATGAAGGAAAAGATAACCTCCTGATAAGTTTTCATTATCATGAGTTAATAATTAGTAAATAATATAGTTTTAGCCTTAACTCGTGATAAATAGACTTATATTTGTGTTAAAGTGTGAAAAGTTGTTTTCAATTGATTTATGTGATTTTTTGGGTAATTATGTGATTTTATACGAATTTATATGATTTTTATAGTCTTACTTTTGAGATAAATGAAGAAAAAGAAATAAAACTAAAATATTGTAAAATGGGGGGGACCCGCCGGCCAGTCGGGCCCGCAAGCGGGTCGGAAGCTCAGTCGGCGAGTAGCCGCGAGCAGGGGCTCGAGCGGCTTGGACCGATAGGGGCACGTGTGCGCCACTCCCCTTCCACGTCACCGATGGCCAGCCGGCTGTGGGGCAAGGAGTGGTCATACACGCGAGAGAAGGAACTTTGCTTAGAAAGCTAACATTACTATATATTCGCCTGAAAAATCGGCGCACAACCGATGTAAGACTAAACCCGCGTCATAACTTCCTCAGACGGGGCGGACAACCGGCGCGGGTTCGAATTCTCCCAGAGTCAAAATTCATATATTTTTATCTGATTATCGCGACTTTTCTGCAGATCGCCGCTGAAGGATTAAGCAACGAGAATCGCTGGATCATCGGCGAAAATCTCGTCAACGCGATTCGCGGAGCATTACTACTAAAATTGCTGAACAATTCGCGATAAAAGGATCGCGAATCTATCGAGTAAATCATCTCCGATTGATCGACAAACAAACCGTCGTCGTGAAGAGGACGATCCGCCGGGAGACGAGTCACCACCTCCTGAGAGCGTACCGGATGTGATGAAGAGCCTCCTCTTGCTGCGCGGACCTGAGGATGAAGCTCCCTGACACGCACCCCACCTCCATCCAGCTCCTCTCCGTCAGGTGATAGTCGCCGGAGAGCCGCAAAGTCGTTGTTTTTCCGCTCCGCCGGGTGACAGCCGCCGGAGACGACTCGACAACCCATTTCATTAATCTCTAGACTTCGCGAGAAGATCTAGAGATTGCCCACGTCGTCTTTGTCCAAGGAGAGGCTTCGAGGCCGTGGACACTACGCGATGATCCTCCCGAACGCTCAGGATTCCGATGCATCGCCGACGCATCGCCGTCGCGACACCAGAACTCTGTTTTCCTGCTTTCAATTTAATTTACGCTTCATTTAGTGATACTTTGTGTGATTTTAATTTACCAAACTATACTTCGTTCAATTATGATTCTTTCGACTTTTATAGATCTTAATTTGATTAATTAAATCGTATGTAATCATTTACGTAAGAATCGCCAGGCAGAACTCTGTTTCCACCCGATTTGCGTTCGCCGGGCGCTGACGTCATCCTGACGTCCGCACCCTTATTTCCTTTTTTTTCGTGAATTTTTAATATATTTCCTTTTCATTTCCTACTATAAAATTCATAGAAAATTGTATTCATTGAGAAAAAATCTGAATAATTACAAAATATTATATTACATCCCTTTGATTGACTTGGGAAATTACTGCTATTTTTGGAAGTTTTATTGAATTATAATTGATATATTTATTTAGAAATACTTCTAAATATCCGAAAATTCGTATTTTCTAGTTTTATAAATTTTATATTTGCGTGATTTAAAATACAATGACTAAGTCACGTCATGCCCCTATCGGTCCAAGCCGCTCAAGCCCCTGCTTGTGGCTACTCCCCGACTGAGCTTCCGACCCGCTTGCAGGCCTGGCTGGCCGGCGGGTCCCCCCATTTTGAAATATTTTAGTTTTTTTTTTCTTCATTTAACTCAAAAGTAAGACTGTAAAAATCATATAAATTCGTATAAAATCACATAATTACCTAAAAAATCACATTAATCAATTGAAAACCACTTTTCACACTTTAACACAAATATAAGTCTATTTATCACGAGTTAAGGCTAAAACTATATTATTTACTAATTATTAACTCATGATAATGAAGACTTATCAATCATCATGATGCAATTCATAAATTCCTCTCTTCTTATCCTTGTCATATAATTCAAAAGAGGCTTGATCTCTAGAATTTTCACTTAAATTTTCATAAAGACTGTAAATCTCATCAGGGGTTTTCTCCATAAAAGCTCCTGCACATATAGAATCAATCATATTTCTATGTTGTTCTAATAATTCATCATAAAAAATTCTATTGAGTTGTCACTTGAGTATAACATGATGAGGACATATTCTAAGTAAATCTTTGAATTTTTCTCATGTCTCATGCAAAGTTTCTCCTGGTCTTTGAGAAAAATTCCATATATATTTTCTCATATTTTGGGTTTTTCCTAAGGGATAAAATTTTTGAAGAAAGGCCTGTTCTATATCTTTCAAACTAGTTAATTCTCTATCTAATGTGGATAGCCAATGGCTAGCTTTGTCCCTAAGTGTATAAGGACATAATTTCATCTTAATAATTTCCGGTGTAACTTGAGGGAGATTAACTAAATCACAAACCATATGAAATTTTTCTAAGTGCTGATGAGGTTCCTCTAAAGGCAATCCATGAAAATTAGGGAGCATTTGAAAAATTCTTGGATTTATTTCGAATTTAATAGTGGGTGCTAATGGGACTTTAATATTGGATGCTTTTTAAAATGAATCAATGATATAATAATTTTTCATGGCCATAGGATTGTTCTCAATTTGACCTGTACTTTCTTCAAGATCTATCAAAATTATTTTTTTTCTTTCAGATTTTTAGTTTTGGATGAAATAATGGAAGGATTTTCTAGCCTTGGATGCAAGGATCTTCTACCATACATAAAAAAAATCAATAAATTCGAGGGAAAAAATTTTAGTAATTGTTACTGATAAGTCTTCATTATCATGAGTTAATAATTAGTAAATAATATAGTTTTAGCCTTAACTCGTGATAAATAGACTTATATTTGTGTTAAAGTGTGAAAAGTTGTTTTCAGTTGATTAATGTGATTTGTTAGGTAATTATGTGATTTTATACGAATTTATATGATTTTTATAGTCTTACTTTTGAGATAAATGAAGAAAAAGAAATAAAACTAAAATATTTCAAATGGGGGGACCTGCTGGCCAGCCGGGCCTACAAGCGGGTTGGAAGCTCAGTCGGGGAGTAGCCGCGAGTAGGGGCTCGAGCGGCTTGGACCGATAGGGGCACGTGTGCGCCACTCCCCTTCCACGTCACTGCTGACCAGCCGGCTGTGGGGCAAGGAGTGGTTGTACACGCGGGAGAAGGAACTTTACTTAGAAAGCTAACATTACTATATATTTGCCTGAAAAATTAGCAGACAACCGATGTGAGACTAAACCCGCGTCACACCTTCCTCAGAAGAAGCGGGCGACCGGTGCAGGTTCGAGTCCTTCCAAAGTCAAAATTCATATATTTTTATCTAATTATCGCGACTTTCCTGTAGATCGCCGGTGAAGGATTAAGCAACGAGAATCGCTGGATCATCGGTGAAAATCTCATCAACGCGATTCATAGAGCATTGCTACTAAAATTGCTGAATGATTCGCGATAAAAGGATCGCGAATCCATCGAGTAAATCATCTCCAATTGATCGACAAACAGGCCATCGTCGGGAAGCGGATGATCCGCCGGGAGACGAGTCGCCACCTCCTGAGAGCGTACCAGATGCGATGAAGAGCCTCCTCTTGTTGCGCAGACCTGAGGATGAAGCTCCCTGACACACACCCCACCTCCATTCAACTCCTCTCCGTCAGGTGACAGTCGCCAGAGAGCTGCAAAGTCGCCATTTTTCCGCTCCGCCAGGTGACAGCCGCCGGAGATGACTCGACGACCTATTTCATTAATCTCTAGACTTCGCGAGAAGATCTAGAGATTGCCCACGTCGTCTTTGTCCAAGGAGAGGCTTCGAGGCCGTGGACACTACGCGATGATCCTCCCGAACGCTCAGGATTCCGATGCATCGCCGACGCATCGCCGTCGCGATGCCGGAACTTTGTTTTCCTACTTTCAACTTACTTTACGCTTCATTTAGTGATAGTTTTTGTGATTTTAATTTACCAAAATATATTTTGTTCTATTACAATTTGTCCAGCTTTTACAGATCTTAATTTGATTAATTAAATCGTCGTAATCGCTTATGTAAGAATCGCCGAGTGGAACTCTGTTTCTGCCCGATTCGCGTTCGCCGGGTGCTGACGTCATCTTGACGTCCGCACCCTTATTTCCCTTTTTCATGAATTTTAAATATATTTCCTTTTCATTTCCTAGTATACAATTTATAGAAAATCATATTCATTGAGAAAAATTCTGAATAATTACCATATATTATATTACATCCATGTGATCGACTTGGAAAATTACCGCTATTTTTGGAAGTTTTATTGAATTATAATTGATATATTTGTTCAGAAATACTTCTAAATATTTGAAAATTCATATTTTCTAGTTTTATAAATTTTAAATTTGCATGATTTAATATACAACGATTGAGTCACGTCAAATTTTGGTGCCGTTGCCGGGGATGTATTGCATAATATTTAGTATTTTTCTATTTTTCTCTTAGAGTACACAAAAAATTTAACTCTTGTTTTATTTTCTTTTTGCTGATTTTTTTTTAAGAAAAAGGGAACAAGAAGAAGCAAGGCAAGGACTGGAGCATACTGAAGGAGGGTAACAATTACTAAATTTTTCCCTCAAATTTATTGATTTTTTTTATGCATGGTAGAAGATCCTTGCATCCAAGGCTAGAAAATCCTTTCATTATTTCATTCAAGACTAAAAATCCGAAAGAAAAGTTAATTTTGATGGATCCTGAAGGAAGTACAGGTCAAACTGAGAACAATCCTATGGCCATGAAAAATCATTATATCCCTGATTCATTTCAAAGAGCATCAAATATTAGAGTCCCATTAGCACCCACTGTTAAATTCGAAATAAATCCAAGAATTTTTCAAATGCTCCCTAATTTTCATGGATTGCTTTTAGAGGAACCTCATCAGCACTTAGAAAAATTTCATATGGTCTGTGATTTAGTTAATCTTCCTCAAGTTACACCGGAAATTATTAAGATGAAATTATTTCCTCATACACTTAGGGACAAAGCTAGCCATTGGCTATCCACATTAGATAGAGAATTAACTAGCTTGAAAGACATAGAACAGGCCTTTCTTCGAAAATTTTATCCCTTAGGAAAAACCCAAAATATGAGAAAACATATATGGAGTTTTTCTCAAAGACCAGGAGAAACTTTACATGAGACATGGGAAACATTGAAAGATTTACTTAGAAAGTGTCCTCATCATGCTATACCCAAGTGGCAGCTCAATAAAATTTTTTATGATGGATTATTAGAACAACATAGAAATATGGTTGATTCTATATGTGGAGGAGCTTTTATGGAGAAAACCCCTGATGAGATTTACAGTCTTTATGAGAATTTAAGTGAAAATTCTAGAGATCAAGCCTCTTTTGAATTATATGACAGGGATAAGAAGAGAGGAATTTATGAATTGTATCATGATGATGATTCTAAACTTAGAAATGAGGTTAATCAGATTAATCAAAGATTAGAAAAACTTGATTTGCTTATTGACAATATTAGAAAGCCTCTTAACCCTCAATTTAATTCAAATAGTACATGTTCTATGTATGGTGAAAATGATTATTCTGAATTTCAATGTTATAATTTAAATCAATCATTTCACCCTAAGCAAGAACAAGTGCAAGTAGCTCACGGTTTTAATAGAAATAGGGAACCTTTTTTAAATTCTTATAATCTTAATTGGAGGAATAATTTTTCATGGAGAGACCCAAATAATATTCAAAATCTAGAAGCACTTAGACCCAATTCAAACTCTGAATTTCATCCAAAACAAGAAAACAGATTTCAAAAAAATGAGCCCTCTCAAATCCAACCTGATGCTATGGAAATGATGCAGCAAATGAGCCAAATTATGCAACAAACTATGAATCAAATGATGCAACAAACTATGAATCAAATGATGCAGCACGAGAAACAAATTATAGAGGTCCTTGGGAATAAGAGAGAAGAGGGACAGCTACCTAGTCAGCCCGTAGAAAATCCAGGGAACCGCCCAACAATAGGATTTCAGCAAGGGGAGTCTAGTAGCATGAATTTAGGAAAAAACCCACGAAATGAAAATGTTAGGACAGTGAATGCATTAAGGAGTGGTAAGATCTTACCTGATCCTTATCCCCAAACATTAGAAGAAAAAGAAAATGTGGACAACCCAAAACAAAATCAAATAGGAGTAGAAGAAGATTTTATAGATTCTACCAAGGAAATTTCGAAAGAGAGGACAACCATTCCATTTCCTAAAGCTCTAGAGCCTAGACAAAGAAAGAAAAAGGAACACAATGAAGAAATAAAGAAAATTTTACAAGATGTGCAAATTAGTCTTCCTTTACTCACTACCATTGAACATATTCTTGAATATGCTAGAGTTTTGAAAGAAATGTGTACACCAAAAAGGGAACCTAGAGTAGAAAAATTATCTATGCATGCTAGTGCATTATTATTAAATCAATTACCATATAAATTGAGAGATACAGGTGCCCCTTTAATTTCGTGTGATATTGGTGGATCCACTTTTCAGAATGCATTACTTGACACCGGTGCTAGTATTAATTTATTACCTACAAGTATTTGTGATAAATTTAATATTTCTGATCTTAAACCTTCTACTGTTACCTTACAATTTATTGATAGATCCATAAAACATCCTAAAGGTATTTTAGAAAATGTGATAGTAACAGTTAAAGGGTGTAAATTTCCAACTGATTTTGTAGTGCTGGAAATGGATTTTATGGACAGTTTTATGATACACCAATCATCCTAGGGAGACCATTTTTGCATACAACAAAGATGAATATTGATTTTCTCACAGGTATTGCGAAAATTTCATGTGGAGATCAATCAGTAGAAATTAAAATTTTTGAGGTACCAAATGATCTTAAGAAATCACAAGTATATGATTGTCATACCATAGATCTTCTAGATGATTTTGATGATCCAGATGTTATTGATGACTGTGTGCTGGAAGAATTAGAGGAAATAGAGAATATAAATTTGAGAGAAAAGAAAGAGGAAGATCATCTGAATTTAGAGTTGAAACCTCTTCCCTCTAGTTTAAAATATATGTTTTTGGAGGAAAATAATTCATTTCCTGTTATTATTGCAGCTGATTTGAGTGATGAACAGGAAGAAGAATTATTAGATGTACTTCGAAAAAATAAGAAGGCTATGGCCTGGAAAATGGACGATCTAAGGGGCATTGATATGAGTGTATGTATGCATAGTATATATCTAGAGGAGGGGGCCAGAACTAGTAGGGAACCACAACGAAGATTAAATCCTAACATGATAGAAATTGTAAAAAAAGAAATTTTAAAGTGGCTGGCTGTTGATATTATTTATTCTATTTCAGATAGCAAATGGGCTAGTCCTACACAAGTAGTGCCAAAAAAATCAGGGATCACGGTTATAAAAAATGAAAAATGGGGATGAAATACAAACAAGATTAACTACCGGTTGGAGGGTTTGCATTGATTATAGAAAATTAAATTCAGTTACTAGAAAAGATCATTTTCCCCTACCATTTACTGATCAAATTCTAGAAAAATTAGCTGGAAAAAACTTTTTTTGTTTTCTAGATGGATACTCTGGTTATAATCAAATTTATATAAACCCTTTAGATCAAGAAAAAACAACTTTCACTTGTCCATTTGGTACTTTTGCTTTTAAACACATGCTTTTTGGTTTGTGTAATGCTCCAGCCACATTTCAAATATGTATGTTGTCTATTTTTTCTGATATGATTGGAAAATGCATGGAAATTTTTATGGACGATTTTTCTATTTTTGGTGAATCATTTGATGAATGCTTAAATCATTTACAGCATGTACTTGAGAAATGCATAGAGAAAAAATTAGTTTTGAGTTGGAAGAAATCACATTTTATGGTTAAAGAGGGAGTTGTGTTGGGTCATATTGTGAGTAAAAGGGGTTTAGAGGTGGATAGAGCAAAAATTGATATTATATCTAAAATGAAACCTCCAAATTCAGTAAAACAGATTAGATCTTTCTTGGGTCATGCAGGTTATTACAGAAAATTTATTCAAGATTTTTTGAAGATTTCTAAACCTCTCACCATGCTATTATCTAAAGATGTGCCTTTTAATTTTGATGAAAAATGTTTTGAGTCTTTTTCCGAAATAAAAAGATTACTTACTGAGGCACCCATTTTATAAGCTCCTGATTGGTCAATTCCCTTTTGAAATAATGTGTGATGCATCGAATTATGCAGTGGGGGCCATTCTAGGACAAACAAAAGAGTCAAAACCCATAGTAATTTCATATGCTAGTAAAACTATATCCGATGCTCAATTAAATTATACCACGACTGAAAAAGAGTTGTTAGCTGTAGTATTTTCGTTAGAAAGGTTTAGATCATATATTTTGAGAGCTAAAATTATTATTTATACTGATCATGTAGCATTAAAATATCTATTAAATAAGAAAGATGCAAAGCCACATTTATTAAGATGGATTTTATTGTTACAAGAATTTGACTTAGAAATAAAAGATAAAAAAGGTTTCAAGAATGCTGTTGCTGACCATCTTTCTAGATTAAGTGACACAGGAATAAATGCAACACCTTTACAAGACGCATTTCTAGATGAACAATTGATGGCAGCTCAACATCAACCATCACCATGGTATGCACATGTTGTTAATTTTTTGGTTTTTGGAAAAACTCCAGAAAAGTGGGATAAGAACAGAAAACATCATTTCTTTTCTAAGATTAGAAATTATTTTTGGCATGATCCTGATTTATATTACTTGGGCAATGATCAAATTTTAAGGAGATGTGTTCCTGAAGAAGAATACCATAGCATTATTAACATGTGCCATTCATCTAACTGTGGAGGACATTTCTCTGGACGAAAAACAGCTGCAAAAAATTTTCAGTGTGGTTTTTATTAGCCTACAATCATTAGAGATTCTATAGAATTTAGTAGAACATGTATTTCATGCCAATCTATAGGTAACATGAGTAAAAAAGATGAAATTCCCATGAGTAACATGTTAGTAGTCGAAATTTTTGATGTATGGGGAATAGATTTCATGGGTCCCTTCCCATCAGTTGAAAAATATGAATATATTTTGCTTGCTATTGATTATGTGTCGAAGTGGGTGGAAGCTATTCCTACTAGAACTAATGATCATAAAATCGTGATAAAATTTGTGCAGGAAAATATTTTTCGAGATTTGGATGTCCTAGAGTGATTATTAGTGATGGAGGAACACATTTTACAAATAAACATTTCAGGGAACTGTTGAAAAAGAATAGAGTACACTATAGAGTAGCAACTCCATATCATCCCCAAACAAATGGGCAAGCTGAAGTAGCAAATAGGGAAATTCAGATAATTTTGAGAAAAATAGTTAGACTAGATAGGAAAGATTGGCCCACGAAATTACAAGATGCATTATGGGCTTATAGAACAGCTTATAAAAATCCCATAGGTATGTCCCCATTTCGTCTCATTTTTGGAAAGCCATGTCATCTTCCTGTGGAAATAGAGCATAAAGCATTATGGGTTATAAAAAATTTATGTATGGATGAAAAATCAGCTGGTGGGCATAGAATTTTCAGCTACATGAACTAGAGGAGTTGAGGAATGAAGCTTATGAAAATCATAGAATATATAAAGAAAAAACTAAAAATTTTCATGATAAATACATTAGCAGAAAAAAATTTGATGTTGGACAAAAAGTGTGGTTATATGATTCTAGGCTGAAATTATTCCCAGGAAAATTAAAATCAAAATGGAAAGGGCCTTATGTGGTGGAAGAGACATATGATCATGGGGCTGTAATGATTAAAGATCCTAAAAGTGATCATAACTTTAAGGTAAATAGACAGCGGCTTAAACATTACATAGAACATGAACGCCTTGCAGAAAAAGAAATTTTATTATTAAAAGAAATTCAAGAGTAAGATCAAGGAGTCCAGCTGGAGACATTAAATTCAGTGTTGCATGGGAGGCAACCCATGGTTTTTATTTCATTTTGTTTGATTTTTTTTTAAGCTCTGTTTTTCTTAGAATTTCGCAGTACATGTTTCTGTATTTGTTTTTTCGAAAAAGTGCAGGAGGAGGCATGTAAGATGAAGTGGAAAATTAAAAATGAGGTTGAGGTGATGTCTTTCGGAGGTTTATCATTTATGACAACATTTTAATGCTAAACTTTGCATATATGCATGCTTCACTTGAAAATTATATTTTCTGCATATTCTGTTTCGATTTTTCTGTTTCATTGAGGACAATGTCATTTTTAAGTTGGGGGGTGAAGTGTTCATTATTAATTTATGCTGTAAGACGATTAAGAACATGTGTTTGCATTTTATTCAACTTAGAACAACAACTAAAAAAATAAAAAATAAAATAAAATTCGGAAAAACTGCAACATCTATTTTCTAGTTTTCTATCAGGAACAACAGACTATCAAAAACAGTAGACAAAAAACAGCCCAAAATTTGAAATTCTAGAGACCTTTTTCTCACATTTCAATCCCCTAGACATATATTACTGAAATTCGAAATTAAAGCTATAAAGAGGATAGTTTTGATTTATTTTTGACAAATTTAATGCTGCTAAAAATAGAACTGAAAACAAAAAACAGAACTGTCAGAACTATCTAATTTACAAATTTCTTACATCATATTGCATGCATGAAAAATTAAATCAATTAGATTGATTGATACCAAAAGATACTAGGAAGATTATTATTGAGTCAAAAGAATAATCTAGTAGCATGAAATGTTGGAATACTCTTTGGATACATGATAGATAACATGGATTTGATTTTATAGATTTTCACTTCATGATCTTGATGGATAATATTTACTTGATGTGAAAATTTAATTGATCATTTGAGTTTAACAGAGATTTTTGCACCTAGATCTATAGGACTTGTGAGGAGAAATCACTTATTTCGAAAAAAAAAAAAAAGAGAGAGCAATATGAAAAATCTAGAAACGAAGAGTACACATGGAAGGTGTGAGACATCATTCTCATTGTCGAAAATTGTGTATAGAAAAACACTTGCTGCAAAATAAGTGGATAAAGTGAAAGCCCTGAAAATGAAGAGTACACATGGAGGGTGTGAGACATCATTCTTATTGTCGAAATTTGTCTATAGGAAAAGCTACTTATCCACTATATATAAAGAAAGAAGAAATATAGTGCAAACTTCAAAAATCAAGCCATAGAAAAAGGGAAATGTAAGATCAATATTATTCTTGGATGAGTATTGATAATTGAAACATCTTGCAAATACATCTATGAGTGAAGAAGTGATAAAGATATGAATAGAAGAAGTGAAGTCTAGATTGTTATTCCAAGGAGTGTTTAAACATTTAAGTGCTTGACACCATTCTTAAATACTTGGTATAAGAATCCAAAGTGTCTAAAGGTGAATCATTTCTAATTGTATTTTTTTTTCTTTCTATATTCAAATATGATGTTTGAGATTTGTAAATTTTTTATTTTCGTAATTCCATTGCTAAGGGACTAGCAATGATTTAAGTTGGGGGGTGTGATAACTCTTCATTATCATGAGTTAATAATTAGTAAATAATATAATTTTAGCCTTAACTCGTGATAAATAGACTTATATTTGTGTTAAAGTAAGTAGTTTTCAATTGATTAATGTGATTTTTTGGATAATTATGTGATTTTATACGAATTTTTATGATTTTTACAGTCTTACTTTTGAGATAAATGAAGAAAAAGGAATAAAACTAAAATATTTCAAAATGGGGGGACCCGCTGGCCAGCTGGGCCCCCAAGTAGGTCAGAAGCTCAGTCGGGGAGTAGCCGCGAGCAGGGGCTCGAGCGGCTTGGACCGATAGGGGCACGTGTGCGCCACTCCCCTTCCACATCACTGGTGGCCAGCCGATTGTGGGGCAAGGAGTGGTCGTACACGCGAGAGAAGGAACTTTACTTAGAAAGCTAACATTACTATATATTCGCCTGAAAAATTGGTGCACAACCGATGTGGGACTAAACCCGCGTCACACCTTCCTCAGAAGAGGCGGGCGACCGGCGTGGGTTCGAGTCCTTCTAGAGTCAAAAGTCATATATTTTTATCTGATTATCTTGACTTTCCTGTAGATCGCTTGTGAAGGATTAAGCAACGAGAATCGCTGGATCATCGGCGAAAATCTCGTCAACACGATTCGCGGAGGATTGCTACTAAAATTGCTGAACGATTCACGATAAAAGGATCGCGAATCCATCGAGTAAATCATCTCTAATTGATCGACGAACAAGTTGTCGTCAAGAAGAGGACGATCCGCCGAGGGACGAGTCGCCACCTCCTGAGAGCGTACCAGATGCGATGAAGAGCCTCCTCTTGCTGCGCGGACCTGAGGATGAAGCTCCCTGACACGCACCCCACCTCCATCCAGCTCCTCTCCGTCAGGTGACAGCCGCCGGAGAGCCGCAAAGTCGCCATTTTTCCGCTCCACCGGGTGACAGCCGCCAGAGACGACTTGATGACCCATTTCATTAATCTCTAGACTTCGCGAGAAGATCTAGAGATTGCCCACGTCGTCTTTGTCCAAGGAGAGCCTTCGAGGCCGTGGACACCACACGACGGTCCTCCCAAACGCTCAGGATTCTAGTGCATCGCCGACGCATTGCCGTCGCGACGCCGGAACTCTGTTTTCCTACTTTCAACTTACTTTACGCTTCATTTAGTGATAGTTTTTGTGATTTTAATTTACCAAAATATATTTTGTTCTATTACGATTCTTCTGACTTTTACAGATCTTAATTTGATTAATTAGATCGTCTATAATCGCTTACGTACGAATCACCGAGCGGAACTCTGTTTCCGCCCGTTTCACGTTCGCCGGGCGCTGACGTCATCCTGACGTCTGCACCCTTAAACATATTTCCTTTTCATTTCCTAGTATACAATTCATAGAAAATTATATTCATTGAGAAAAATTTTGAATAATTACCAAATATTATATTACATCCTTGTGATCGACTTGGAAAATTACTACTATTTTTGGAAGTTTTATTGAATTATAATTGATATATTTGTTCAGAAATAATTCTAAATATCCGAAAAATTGTATTTTCTAGTTTTATAAATTTTAGATTTGCGTGATTTAATATACAACGACTAAGTCACGTCAGTTACCCTCTTTCAGTATGCTTCAGTCGTTGCCTTGCTTCTTTTCGTTCCCTTTTTGTAAAAAAAAATTTCAACAAGAAAAAAATAAAACAAGAGTTAATTTTTTTTGTGTACTCTAAGAGAAAAACAGAAAAATACTAAATGTATGCAATACATCCCCGGCAACGGCGCAAAAATTTGATGTGACTTAGTCGTTGTATATTAAATCACGTAAATATAAATTTTCTAAAACTAGAAAATACGAATTTTTGGATATTTTGAAGTATTTCTTAACAAATGTTTCAATTATAATTCAATAAAACTTCCAAAAATAGTAGTAATTTTCCAGGTTGATCACAGGGATGTAATATAATATCTGGTAATTATTCAGAATTGTCTGCAAAGAATACTATTTTCTATGAGTTTTATATTAGGAAATGAAAAGGAAATATATTTAAAATTCACAAAAAAGAAAATAAGGGTGCGGACGTCATGATGACGTTAGCGCTCGGCAAATGCGAATCGGGCAGAAACAGAGTTCCGCCCGACGATTCTTACATAAGTGATTACAGACGATTTAATTGATGAAATTAAGATCTGTAAAAGCTAGAAGAATCGTAATTGAGTGAAGTATATTTTGGTAAATTAAAATCACACAAATTATCACTAAATGAAGCGTAAAGTAAGGTGAAAGTAGGAAAAGAGAGTTCCGGCGTTGCGGCAGTGATACGTCGGTGATGCACCAAAATCCTGAGCATTCAGGAGGATAGTCATGTAATGTCCACGGGCTTGAAGGCTCTCCTTGGACAAGGACAATGTGGGCAATCTCTAGATCTCCTTGCGAAGTCTAGAGATCAATGAAATAGGTCGTCGAATCATCTCCAACAGCTATCACCCGGCGGAGTGGAAAAACGGCAACTTTGTGGCTCTCCGGCGGCTGTCACTCGATGGAGAGGAGCTGGATGGAGATGGGGCGCATGTTAGGGAGCTTCATCCTCAAGTTCGTGCAGCAAGAGGAGGCTCTTCATCGCATTTGGTACGCTCTTAGGAGGTGGCAACTCGTCTCCCGGCAGATCGTCCTCTTCCCAACGACACCTTTTTCGTCGATCAATCGGAGATGCTTTACTTGATAGATTCGCAATCCTTTTATCACGAATCGTTCAGTAATTTTAGTAACAATGCTCCACGAATCGCATTGACGAGATTTTTGCCGATGATCTAACGATTCTGGTTGCTTAATCCTTCACCGGCGATCTGCAGGAAAGTTACGATAATCAGATAAAAAAATATGAGTTTTGGCTCTAGGAGGATTCGAACTTGTGCCGGTTGCCCCACCCCTTTTGGGAAGGTGACGCGGGTTTAGTCCCAAATCGGTTGTGCACCAAATTTTTGGGCGAATATATAGTAATGTTAGATTTCTAAGCAAGTCCCTTTCTCGCGCGTGTACAACCACTCCTTGCCCCACAGCTGGCTGGCCACTAGTGACGTGGAAGGGGAGTGGCACACAAGATTTGACGATGGCTACATTTTGCTTCAAGTTTAGGAAAACATCTAGAGGGTGCAATGTATAAAAGGTATTCATAAGTCTTCATTATCATGAGTTAATAATTAGTAAATAATATAGTTTTAGCCTTAACTCATGATAAATAGACTTATACTTGTGTTAAAGTGTGAAAAGTGGTTTTCAATTGATGAATGTGAATTTTTCGGTAATTATGTGATTTTACATGAATTTATATGATTTTTACAGTCTTGCTTTTGAGATAAATGAAGAAAAAGAAATAAAAATAAGACAAAATGAGGTGGGACCCGCTGGCCAGCCAGGCCCGCAAGCGGGTCAAAAGCTTAGTCGGGGAGTAGTCGCGAGCAGGGGCTCGAGTGGCTTGGACCGATAGGGGCACGTGTGCGCCACTCCCCTTCCACGTCACCGGTGGCTAGCCGACTGTGGGGCAAGGAGTGGTCGTACACGCGAGAGAAGGGACTTCGCTTAGAAAGCTAACATTACTATATATTCGCCTGAAAAATCGACACACAATCGATGTGGGACTAAACCCGCGTCACACCTTCCTCAGAAGGGGAGGACAACCAGCGCGGGTTTGAATCCTCCCAGAGTCAAAATTCATATATTTTTACCTGATTATCGCGACTTTCTTGTAGATCGCTGGTGAAGGATTAAGCAACGAGAATCGCTGGATCATCGGCGAAAATCTCGCCAACGCGATTCGTGGAGCATTGCTACTAAAATTCCTGAACGATTCACGATAAAAGGATCGCCAATCCATTGAGTAAATCATCTCCGATTGATTGACGAACAAGCCGTCGTCGGGAAGAGGACGATCCACCGGGAGACGAGTCGCCACCTCCTGAGAGCATACCAGATGCGATGAAGAGCCTCCTCTTGCTGCGCGAACTTGAGGATGAAGCTCCCTGACACGCGCCCTACCTCCATTCAGCTCCTCTCTGTCGGGTGACAGCCGCCGGAGAGCCGCAAAGTTGCCATTTTTCCGCTCCGTCAGGTGACAACCGTCGGAGACGACTTGACGATCCATTTCATTAATCTCTAGACTTCACGAGAAGATCTAGAGATTGCCCACGTCGTCTTTGTCCAAGGAGAGCCTTCGAGGCTGTGGACACTGCACGACGATCCTCCCGAACGCTCAGGATTCTGGTGCATCGCCGTCGCGACATCGGAACTCTGTTTTCCTGCTTTCAATTTAATTTACGCTTCATTTAGTGATACTTTGTGTGATTTGAATTTACCAAAATATACTTCGTTCAATTACAATTCTTCCGGCTTTTACAGATCTTAATTTGATTAATTAAATCGTCTGTAATTGCTTACGTACGAATCGCCGAGCAGAACTTTGTTTCCGCCCGATTTGCATTCGCCGGGCGCTTACGTCATCCTCACGTCCGCACCCTTATTTCCTTTTTTCGTGAATTTTAAATATATTTCCTTTTCATTTCCTAGTATAAAACTCATAGAAAATCGTATTCATTGAGAAAAAATCTGAATAATTACAAAATATTATATTACATCCCTGTGATTGACCTGGGAAATTACCGCTATTTTTGGAAGTTTTATTGAATTATAATTGATATATTTATTTAGAAATACTTCTAAATATCTGAAAATTCGTATTTTCTAGTTTTATAAATTTTATATTTGCGTGGTTTAATATACAACAACTAAGTCACGTCAGGTATATATGATGACATTCATCCATGTGAATCATATAAGATTTAACTTTGTCAAAATATGCTTTTCAAATTGAAAACATTACAAAGCATAGCTATGTGACTTTTATTTCAAACTCCTCTTTATCTACCCAATCTTCTATGAATTTAGATGTTTCTTAATTTTTAGATCATCACTAAAGAAATCATACTTTTACTATGATGGGAACCAATTATGGCATTACATTACTTTCAATTTTGGACTGCATGTGGTTCTGAACACATTATGGGGTGGATGTGTGTCCTTTGGTGGACACATAAGCTTCCAATACATAATTATTATTTCTTCATAACTTTACGTATTCTAATAAATAATATTTCTAATAATATTTAATATTCTAATAAATAAATATAACCTAAACTATAAAATTCGTGCCATTTAATCCAATACTTGTAGTGTTCATTTATTTAATGATAAATTTTTTAGTTTTGGTAAACTATAGTAATTATTCATTGCAACTAATCATTATGATTGTATGAAATAATATTAGATTTCTTCCCTTTAATACTGTATTTTTATGTGCCAGCTTTCTTATAAAGAAGTAATATTCATTATTTATGCATAAAATTTACATTTATGGGTCTAATAATTGTTTTTGATAATTTGTAAGTGTGAATGTACTTAAACATATTATATTCCTGTACTTAATAGGTTACGTCTAAAGTGGTGCCATTTCCAAGGTGAATAAATAGTAGGTACAAAACATTTCTAAAGTTTAAATGTTGGCAATAAATGATACATATTCCTAGCAAAAGTAACTATTATATAAATATCTACTTATACTCACGCCCTCTAAATGATTGTCTTATATTATTATCATTGATTGATATAGTTTCTCTTTTTGCATAAATAATTACACACCTTTATCAATAGTTATGATTACATTAAAAAAGTATTATATTCATGCCCTTAATATGAGGCTTTTAAACTATCATTTTCTTTATGAATAAATAAGAACAATAATAATAAATAATTTAGTCATGAGATTTATGTTTTCTCAATTGGCACTTTACAGATTTTATTTATATTCTTACATGTACATGGTCATGGTCTGTCATCAATCAAACATTTTATCCGTTTCTTTCTATGACACTCATCTTCTTCATGATTTACCTGCAATCTTCCACGTTTTTGGTGAACCTGTTGGAAACATGGTCAGCCTATTTAACAACAGATGATAGAGCCATGAAAAAGAGATAAAACCATCTGACATAAAATAAAAATATGCGAGGTAATTTCAGTGATGTCATGTTTGCAACCACCTTCAAAATTGCATCAATCCGAATGGTCTTTAACAGGGTGCAGGGGGAGCATATCAAGCTTCCAAAAAGAGAAATGAGCTTCGAGTAGGTGGGCTGCTCAACAAATTGTATCTTCTTCACTGCTTCAAGGAATTGTGCGAAAGGAGGGGGACAGCCACCACACAGCGTCTCGGGGGAGGTTACAGTCTTGTTCATGAAGACTAGAAACCTCTTGTCATTCCCCTACATAGTTGGCATAAGAATCAGCAAGTGATGAATCAAAGAGATCGGAGAACATGTACAAGTAGAGGTGGAAGCAAACCTGATAGCCTTCCCACGGCAGCCTTCCTTTAATCAAAAAAATCAGAGTGTAGGCCAATGACTCAAGATCATCTCTTCTACTCGCTGTGAGGCCTAAATGTGCATGGACGCTTGCATATCGTGTTGTGCCCCTAGGGAACATGAGATAGATAGTAAGGTAGGGGTAAGATTTTATGAATCCTCATCTTAGCTAAGAATTTAGGGAAAAAATAGAATATCGTTTCCCAAAAAACCTGAAATTATCTGGCTGTTGGCATAATCTGACATGCTGGCCTGACAAACTGTCCCTCCACATTGAAGCTGATTAAAATATTAATGACACCAATTAGCATTTGTACAGGCTCTGAACAAAGCACAAAAATATCACTGATGTTGATACAGACAGGGACTTCTCAGTCAAGACAAATTTGTTTATATACTTGGAAAAACAAACCCTACTCTAAAATCAATAGGCGCGAGAGGTGAAAACAAGAAGTGATTGGAATGCAGCAACATACCCAGCCCAAAGTCGATGAGAAAAAGCTTCTTCTCCCCTGAGCTTCTGGGTTTACCCAACAATAAATTCTCTGGCTTGACGTCTCCATGCACAAACCTGGCATGTTTTTTTTTTGTGTGGGTGGAGGGAGGGAGTGCACAAGGGAGCAATGAATTAATTACTGTGACCTTTGCGAAAATATAATTGAAAAAATATCACACTGCCACAAAGCCCTACATACCCTTTTTGGTGTAGCTTCTCAAGGATGGATATTGCCTCCACAGCAATACAAGCCACCATATTTGGTGGCATTCTGTCCAAGGAGTTAGTCAAACTCAATAGCACAATTTTCAACAGAATATTGACTTTGAATATGAAGTCAAGATTATTTTCTTACACTTGCCCAATGGATATGAACACATCCAGAAGACTTGGTCCAAGGATGTCCATGATCTGCAGCAATCATCATCAACAATATCATAACTAGCTTTCAATAAAAAATATAATTCGAGGAAACAATAAAATGAAAGACTCTACGCCAACCATGACGAAATAATCTCCTTGGCGGCCCTTGTAGTGCACCCTAGGTAATCCATAGCATCCCTTGAGATGGCTAAAACCATATTCACAAAGTCAGGTGAAGAACATAGTTTTAGATCGACACAATACGTAATAAATTAGAGCAGTAGGGGGTGTCTTCTTACTCATAAACTTGCCATTCATATGGGGGGCCAAATCTGCAACCCGTGCTATTTCTATGCTCAAACTTCAGTGCTACCTACACCCACCGCAGGAAAATGAAAGAGACAACATAAAACAGCAGTATTTAAAGATTCCCGTGGCAGGAGTGATGGGAGGTTGAAACTAAACCTTAAAGGCATTGGGCCCATTGCCCTGAGATCCACCAGCCACCCTTCGTCCAATGTAGACCAGCCCAAAACCTCCTGCTCCCAACATTCTCTCTACCTTGTATAATGGAGAATTTCCGACCTGCACCTGTCGATTTTGGATAGGACATTCCTATTGTCAAGATGTGATGTGCTTTGGGATGCGGAGAGAAAGCTCTCTACAGTCGCCGTCAAGGAAAGGAATGAGGGACGTCGAAGCATGTACCCGATCCGGGATGGGAGACATCCTCGCTTCCTCCTGTAGCCCGACAACCTCGTCCACACTTCCTCCCTCGATTCCAGCTGCTTTCTCAACAGGACAGCCCGCCACCAAGTTCTGATGGCTTTTCTGGGTGGGGAATAACGCTCGGGAGAGGTGCAGGTACGGAGGGTGTTGTTTCCTGCCGGAAATCACCGGGTTCTTCTCCAGACCCTGGTCGATCGCTCAGCGATCTGAAAATCGAATGTGCCCCTTGATTCAACACGCTCACCCGTCACCGTCAATCGATAAACCTTGCTGAAATAATCTTTTCTCCTCCAGACTGTAACACTCATCCGTCCCCAAAGAGCAATCTGATGGAAGTCTAAAGAAGAAGATAGATCCCCCTACCCAGACCAAACATCAAATCGAATCAGCAACGAAGCGGCAAAACAAATCGGAAGAAAGTAAATAAATAAGAGGAAGGAGGAAAGCCAGAGCTTTCTTCAGCAATCTCGCACCACCCGCACCACCGCAGGCAACCGAAAGTCCAAATCAAAGAAAATAAAGATCCCATCGAAAGAGTCCACAAGAAGATGCCCCCGACACAGAGAAAATCACGAACCCATCGAAAGACGGCACTAGAACATAACCCCCGAATCAACGAAAGGCGAGAATTCGTCGAAAGACGGCACCAGAACATACCCGGAGCGGCCTTTCAGGGAAGCAGAAGCCTGGGAACGTACGACCTCTCCGTGAGGCGGCGCCGACCGTGACCTCGGCGTCTTCGGCGGTGGACTCCTCCACCGGATGCGGCCTCCCACTCTTCCTCCGGATTCGCGCACGAGAAAGGGATCCAGAAGAACTCGACGGAGAGGAGAGGAGAAGGCGGCCGGCTGTCCGAACTCCGCCGTGCTTCGTAGAGCGAGGACGCATCCACAGAAAGAAAGCGAGAGCAAGATAGAGTGAGAGAGAGCAGACAGACAAAGGGAGCGAGAAAAGGCGCGAAAGAAAGAGAGATCAATGACAGCCTCACTCTATCACCCGCTCCTCTTTTACGTTCTGCCATTAGGTACGGATCTCCAATTACATTTCTCTCTGGGGTCTGACGTAAATTGTGCCAATTTCTGTTCACGATGTCCATTGAAATGTCGTCGAATCCGTGTGGGCCACGTGTCCCACATCTGCTTAAGTCTCATGCTAACTCGTCGGTTCTGCTTCCACTGTCGACCTGTTGATGGTTTAACTTTTAGCCTCTGAATATTCCGGCCCATTGGGTCACTTGGCTCGGCCCAGCCCAACTCATTCTGATTTTCTTTTATTTTAGACCTTTATTAATTCCTAAAAAATATCAAAAACTCTTAGAAATTATGAGAAATTCTAGAAAAATTCAGAAAATCCAGAATAAATTCTAGAAAATCCTAAAACTCACATAAAAAATATTTCATGCATAATTATGTAAAATTAATTATCTTAAAATAATATTAAAAATATTAACATGCATGTTTATGTATGAATGAAATCTGAATACGTACGAATTAAATGTAACATGTATTATTTCTATTAATTTTATGCACTAAATATTGATAAATATAAGGTAAATACAGATAATGAAGACTTATCAACCACAACATAATAACTAGACTAAGATGATCTAGTTCAATCATTTTCATCCACAATATACTATCATTAGCCGTTTATTGTCGCACCACATACCCATGAATACAACCTAAAACTCCTTCATACTTCAAAGAATAATGATCATGGTAAAGAATTCACCTATCTTTTTTTCATGAGATCCACACCCCTAATCTAGAGAAGGTAAACTTTTCTAATTGACTTACCCTTTCAAAGGAGCATTAGGCTTTGTTCATTTAAGCATACGTGTTTGTGCAATAATCAATGCAGCAAAAGTTTTAAAATATTCATAACATTTTTGAATTTTTTTTGTTCTCCCCCCTACTTGAATGATGCATTATCTCTAATGCATGCAAATGAAGGAAGAGATAACCTCCCCCCTACTTAAGTCTTGCATTGTCCTTAATGCATGTGAGAGAAGGGAAAAGAGAAGAAAATTCTGATTTTTATGCCCCATCTACTACACCGTTGCCCCTGAATGGTTCTAACTAAAGCACTCGACCAATAAAATATGCCTGAAACAAAAGCTAGTAAGGAAATTGATGTGACTTAGTCGTTGTATATTAAATCATGCAAATATAAAATTTATAAAACTAGAAAATACGAATTTTTGGATATTTAGAAGTATTTCTGAACAAATATATCAATTATAATTCAATTAAAGTTCCACAAATAGCGGTAATTTTCTAGGTCGATCACAGGGATGTAATATAATATCTGGTAATTATTCAGAATTTTCCTCAGAGAATACTATTTTATATGAATTTTATACTAAGAAATGAAAAGGAAATATATTTAAAATTCACGAAAAAAGGAAATAAGGGTGCGGACGTCAGGATGACGTCAGCGCCCGGCGAACACGAATCGGGCAGAAACAAAGTTCCGCCCTGTGATTCTTACATAAGTGATTACAGACGATTTAATTAATCAAATTAAGATCTGTAAAAGCCGGAAGAATCGTAATAGAACAAAGTATATTTTGGTAAATTAAAATTACAAAAATTATCACTAAATGAAGCGTAAAGTAAGTTGAAAGCAGGAAAACAGAGTTCCGGTGTCACGATGGAATAATAATCTTCCTAGTATCTTTTGGTATCAATCAATCTAATTGATTTAATGCATGCAATATGATGTAAGAAATTTGTAAATTAGATAGTTTTGATAGTTCTGTTTTCTGTTTTCAGTTCTATTTTAGCAGCAATAAATTTGTCAAAAATAAATCAAAACTATCTTCTTTATAGCTGTAATTTCGAATTTCAGTAATATATGTCTAGGGGATTGAAATGTGAGAAAAGGGTCTCTATAATTTAAAATTTCAGGTTGTTTTTTTGTCTGCTGTTTTTGACAGTTTGTTGTTCTTGACAGAAAACCAGAAAATAGATGTTGCAGTTTTTCTGAATTTTATTTTATTTTTATTTTTTTAGTTGCTGTTCTAAGTTGAATAAAATGCAAACACATGTTCTTAATCGTCTTACAGCATAAATTAATAATGAATACTTCACCCCCCAACTTAAAAATGACATTGTCCTCAATGACACAGAAAAATCGAAACAGAATATGTAGAAAATAGAATTTTCAAGTGAAGCATGCATATCTACAAAGTTAAGCATTAAAAATATTTTCATAAATGATGAAGCTCAGAAAGACATTACCTCAACCTCGTTTTTAATTTTCCACTTCATCTTACACTCCTCCTGCACTTTTTCGAAAAAAACAAATACAGAAACAAGTACTATGAAATTCTAAGAAAAATAGAGCTTTAAAAAAATCAAACAAAATGAAATAAAAACCATGGGTTGCCTCCCATGCAGCGCTGAATTTAATGTCTCCAACTAGACTCCTTGATCTTACTCTTGAATTTCTTCTAATAATAAAATTTCTTTTTCTACAAGGCGTTCATGTTCTATGTAATGTTTAAGCCGTTGTCCATTTACCTTAAAGTTATGATCACTTTTAGGATCTTTAATCATTACAGCTCCATGATCATATGTCTCTTCCACCACATAAGGCTCTTTCCATTTTGATTTTAATTTTCCTGGGAATAATTTCAGCCTAGAATCATATAACCACACTTTTTGTCCAACATCAATTTTTTTTCTGCTAATATATTTATCATGAAAAGTTTTAGTTTTTTCTTTATATATTCTATGATTTTCATAAGTTTCATTCCTCAACTCTTCTAGTTCATGTAGCTGAAAAATTCTATGCCCACCAGCTGATTTCTCATCCATACATAAATTTTTTATAGCCCATAATGCTTTATGCTCTATTTCCACAGGAAGATGACATGGCTTTCCAAAAATGAGACGAAATGGGGACATACCTATGGGATTTTTATAAGCTGTATAAGCCCATAATGCATCTTGTAATTTCGTGGGCTAATCTTTCCTATCTAGTTTAACTATTTTTCTCAAAATTCTCTGAATTTCCCTATTTACTACTTCAGCTTGCCCATTTGTTTGGGGATGATATGGAGTGGCTACTCTATGGTGTACTCCATTCTTTTTCAACAGTTCCCTAAAATGTTTATTTGTAAAATGTGTTCCTTCATCACTAATAATCACTCTAGGACATCCAAATCTCGAAAAAATATTTTCCTGCACAAATTTCATCATGATTTTATGATCATTAGTTCTAGTAGGAATAGCTTCCACCCACTTCGACACATAATCAATAGCAAGCAAAATATATTCATATTTTTCAGCTGATGGGAAGGGACCCATGAAATCTATTCCCCATACATCAAAAATTTCGACTACTAACATGTTACTCAAGGGCATTTCATCTTTTTTACTCATGTTACCTATAGATTGACATGAAATACATGTTCTACTAAATTCTATAGAATCTCTAATGATTGTAGGCCAATAAAAACCACACTGAAAATTTTTTGCAACTGTTTTTCGTCCAGAGAAATGTCCTCCACGGTTAGATGAATGGCACATGTTAATAATGCTATGATATTCTTCTTCAGGAACACATCTCCTTAAAATTTGATCATTGCCCAAGTAATATAAATCAGGATCATGCCAAAAATAATTTCTAATCTTAGAAAAGAAATGATGTTTTCTGTTCTTATCCCACTGTTCTGGAGTTTTTCCAGAAACTAGAAAATTAACAATATGTGCATACCATGGTGATGGTTGATGTTGAGCTGCCATCAATTGTTCATCTTGAAATGCGTCTTGTAAAGGTGCTGCATTTATTCCTATATCACTTAATCTAGAAAGATGGTCAGCAACAACATTCTCGAAACCTTTTTTATCTTTTATTTCTAAGTCAAATTCCTGCAACAATAAAATCCATCTTAATAAATGTGGCTTTGCATCTTTCTTATTTAACAGATATTTTAATGCTGTATGATCAGTATAAATAATAATTTTAGCTCCCAAAATATATGATCTAAACCTTTCTAACGAAAATACTACAGCTAACAACTCTTTTTCAGTCGTGGTATAATTTAATTGAGCATCGGGTATAGTTTTACTAGCATATGAAATTACTATGGGTTTTGACTCTTTTGTTTGTCCTAGAACAACCCCCACTGCATAATTCGATGCATCACACATTATTTCAAAGGGAAGGGACCAATCAGGAGCTTGTAAAATGGGTGCCTCAGTAAGTAATCTTTTTATTTTAGAAAAAGACTCAAAGCATTTCTCATCAAAATTAAAAGGCACATCTTTAGATAATAGCATGGTGAGAGGTTTAGAAATGTTCAAAAAATCCTGAATAAATTTTCTGTAATAACCTACATGACCCAAGAAAGATCTAATCTGTTTTCCTGAATTTGGAGGTTTCATTTTAGATATAATATCAATTTTTGCTCTATCCACCTCTAAACCCCTTTCACTCACAATATGACCCAACACAACTCCCTCTTTAACCATAAAATGTGATTTCTCCCAACTCAAAATTAATTTTTTCTTTATGCATTTCTCAAGTACATGCTGTAAATGATTTAAGCATTCATCAAAAGATTCGCAAAAAACAAAAAAATCATCCATAAAAATCTCCATGTATTTTCCAATCATATCAGAAAAAATAGACAACATACATTTTTGAAATGTGGCTGGAGTATTACACAGACCAAAAGGCATGCGTTTAAAAGCAAAAGTACCAAATGGACAAGTGAAAGTTGTTTTTTCTTGATCTAAAGGGTTTATATAAATTTGATTATAACTAGAGTATCCATCTAGAAAACAAAAAAAGTTTTTTCCAGCTAATTTTTCTAGAATTTGATCAGTAAATGGTAGGAGAAAATGATCTTTTCTAGTAACTGAATTTAATTTTCTATAATCAATGCAAACCCTCCAACTAGTAGTTAATCTTGTTTGTATTTCATCCCCATTTTCGTTTTTTATAACTGTGATCTCTGATTTTTTTGGCACCACTTGTGTAGGACTAACCCATTTGTTATTTGAAATAGGATAAATAATATCAGCAGCCAGCCACTTTAAAATTTCTTTTTTTACAATTTCCATCATGTTAGGATTTAATCTTCGTTGTGGTTCCCTACTAGTTCTAGCCCCTTCCTCTAGATATATACTATGCATGCATACACTCATATCAATGCCCCTTAGATCATCCATTTTCTAGCCCATAGCCTTCTTATTTTTTCGAAGTACATCTAATAATTCTTCTTCCTGTTCATCACTCAAATCAGCTGCAATAATAATAGGAAATGAATTATTTTCCTCCAAAAACATATATTTTAAACTAGAGGGAAGAGGTTTCAACTCTAAATTCAAATGATCTTCCTCTTTCTTTTCTTCTAAATTTATATTCTCTATTTCCTCTAATTCTTCCAGCACACAGTCATCAATAACATCTGGATCATCAAAATCATCTAGAAGATCTATGGTATGACAATCATATACTTGGGATTTCTTAAGATCATTTGATACCTCAAAAATTTTAATTTCTACTGATTGATCTCCACATGAAATTTTCGCAATACCTGTGGAAAAATCAATATTCATCTTTGCTGTATGCAAAAATGGTCTCCCTAGGATGATTGGTGTATCATAAAACTATCCATTAAGATCCATTTCCAGCACTACAAAATCAGTTGGAAATTTACACTCTTTAACTGTCACTATCACATTTTCTAAAATACCTTTAGGATGTTTTATGGATCTATCAACAAATTGTAAGGTAACAGTAGAAGGTTTAAGATCAGAAATATTAAATTTATCACAAATACTTACAGGTAATAAATTAATACTAGCACCGGTGTCAAGTAATGCATTCTAAAAAATGAATCCACCAATATCACACAAAATTAAAGGGGCACCTGTATCTCTCAATTTATATGGTAATTGATTTAATAATAATGCACTAGCATGCATAGATAATTTTTCACCTCTAGGTGCCCTTTTTGGTGTACACATTTCTTTCAAAACTCAAGCATATTCAAGAATATGTTCAATGGTAGTGAGTAAAGGAAAACTAATTTGCACATCTTGTAAAATTTTCTTTATTTTTTCATTGTATTCCTTTTTCTTTCTTTGTCTAGGCTCTAGAGCTCTAGGAAATGGAATGGTCGTCCTCTCTTTCGAAATTTCCTTGGTAGAATCTATAAAATCCTCTTCTACTCCTATTTGATTTTGTTTTGATTTGTCCACGTTTTCTTTTTCTTCTAATGTTTGGGGGTAAGGATCAAGTAAGATCTTACCACTCCTTAATGCATTCACTATCCTAACATTTTCATTTCGTGGGTTTTTTCCTAGATTCATGCTACTAGACTCCCCTTGCTGAAATCCTATTGTTGGGCGGTTCCCTGAATTTTCTATGGGCTAACTAGGTAGCTGTCCCTCTTCTCTCTTATTCTCAAGAGCCTCTATAATTTATTTTTGGTGCAGCATCATTTGATTCATAGTTTCTTGAATATTATTTGGGTCTCTCCATGAAAAATTATTCCTCCAATTAAGATTATAAGAATTTGAAAAAGGTCCCTGTTTCTATTAAAACTGTGAGCTACTTGCACTTGTTCTTGCATAGGGTGAAATGATTGATCTAAATTATAACATTGAAATTCAGAATAATCATTTTCACCATACATAGGACATGTACTATTCGAATTAAGTTGAGGGTTAAAAGGCTTTCTAATATTATCAATAAGTAAATCAATTTTTTCTAATCTTTGATTAATCTGATTAACCTCATTTCTAAGTTTAGAATCATCATCATGATGCAATTCATAAATTCCTCTCTTCTTATCCCTATCATATAATTCAAAAGAGGCTTGATCTCTAAAATTTTCACTTAAATTCTCATAAAGATTGTAAATCTCATCAGGAGTTTTCTCCATAAAAGCTCCTCCACATATAGAATCAACCATATTTCTATGTTGTTCTAATAATCCATCATTAAAAATTCTATTGAGCTGCCACTTGGGTATAGCATGATGAGGACACTTTCTAAGTAAATCTTTGAATTTTTCCCATGTCTCATGCAAAGTTTCTCCTGGTCTTTGAGAAAAACTCTATATATGTTTTCTCATATTTTGAGTTTTTCCTAAGGGATAAAATTTTCAAAGAAAGGCCTGTTCTATATCTTTCCAGCTAGTTAATTTTCTATCTAATGTGGATAGCCAATGGCTAGCTTTGTCTCTAAGTGTATGAGGGAATAATTTCATCTTAATAATTTCTGGTGTAACTTGAGGGAGATTAACTAAATCACAGACCATATGAAATTTTTCTAAGTGCTGATGAGGTTCCTCTAAAGGCAATCCATGAAAATTAGGGAGTATTTGAAAAATTCTTGGATTTATTTCGAATTTAATAGTGGGTGCTAATGGGACTCTAATATTAGATGCTCTTTGAAATGAATCAGGGATATAATGATTTTTCATGGCCATAGGATTGTTCTCAGTTTGACCTATACTTTCTTCAGGATCCATTAAAATTAATTTTTCTTTCGGATTTTTATTTTTGAATGAAATAATGAAAGGATTTTCTAGCCTTGGATGCAAGGATCTTCTACCATGCATAAAAATCAATAAATTCGAGGGAAAAAGTTTAGTAACTGTTACCCTCCTTCAGGACGCTCCAGTCCTTGCCTTGCTTCTTTTCGTTCCCTTTTTGTAATAAAAAATCAGCAAAAATAAAAAAAAATAAGAGTTAAATTTTTTCTTTTTTTTTGTGTACTCTAAGAGAAAAATAGAAAAATACTAAATATTATGCAATACATCCCCAGCAACAGCACCAAAATTTAACGTGACTTAGTTGTTGTATATTAAATCACGCAAATATAAAATTTCTAAAATTAGAAAATACGAATTTTCGGATATTTAGAAGTATTTCTGAACAAATATATTAATTATAATTCAATAAAACTTCCAAAAATAACGGTAATTTTTTAGGTCAATCACACGGATGTAATATAATATCTGGTAATTATTCAGAATTTTCCTCAGAGAATAATATTATATATGAATTATATACTAAGAAAGGAAAAGGAAATATATTTAAAATTCACGAAAAAAGGAAATAAGGGTGCGGACGTCAGGATGACGTCAGTGCTTGGCGAATGTGAATCGGGCGGAAACAGAGTTCCACCTAGCGATTCTTACGTAAGTGATTACAGACGATTTAATTGATCAAATTAAGATCTGTCAAAGCGTAATAGAACAAAGTATATTTTGGTAAATTAAAATTACAAAAACTATCACTAAATGAAGCGTAAAGTAAGTTGAAAGCAGGAAAACAGAGTTCCGGTGTCGCGATGGTGATGCGTCGGCGATGCACCGGAATTCTGAGTGTTCGGGAGGATCGTCGTGCAGTGTCCACGGCCTCGAAGGCTCTCCTTGGACAAAGACGACGTGGGCAATCTCTAGATCTTCTCGCGAAGTCTAGAGATTAATGAAATGGGTCGTCGAATCGTCTCCGGCGGCTGTCACCTGGCGGAGCGGAAAAACGGCGACTTTGCGGCTCACCAGTGGCTGTCACCCGACGGAGAGGAGCTGGATGGAGGTGGGGCGCGTGTCAGGGAGCTTCATCCTCAGGTCTGCACAGCAAGAGGAGGCTCTTCATCGCATCTGGTACGCTCTCAAGAGGTGGCGACTCGTCTCCCGGCGGATCGTCCTCTTCCCGACGACGGCTTGCTTGTCGATCAATCGGAGATGATTTACTCGATGGATTCGCGATCCTTTTATCGCGAATCGTTCAGCAATTTTAGTAGCAATGCTCCCCGAATCGTGTTGACGAGATTTTCGTCGATGATCCAGCGATTCTCGTTGCTTAATCCTTCAGCGGCGATCTGCAGGAAAGTCACGATAATCAGATAAAAATATATGAATTTTGACTCTAGGAGGATTCGAACCCGCGCCGGTCGCCCCGCCTCTTCTGAGGAAGGTGTGACGGGGGTTTAGTCCCACATCGGTTGTGCACCGATTTTTCGGGCAAATATATAGTAATGTTAGCTTTGTAAGTAAAGTCTCTTCTCTCGCGTGTATGACCACTCCTTGCCCCACAGCCGGCTGGCCACCGGTGACGTGGAAGGGGAGTGGCGTACACATGCCCTATCGGTCCCCAAGCCAAGCCGCTCGAGCCTCTGCTCGCGGCTACTCCCCGACTGCGCTTCCGACCCGCTTGCGGGCCTAGCTGGCCGGCGGGTCTCCCGTCCTTTTGTCTTATTTTTATTTCTTTTTCTTCATTTATCTCAAAAGCAAGACTATAAAAATCATATAAATTTATGTAAAATTACATAATTACCTAAAAATTCACATTAATCAACTGAAAACAACTTTTCACACTTTGACACAAATATAAGTCTATTTATCATGAGTTAATGCTAAAACTATATTATTTACTAATTATTAACTCATGATAATGAAGGCTTATCAAAAATGCATAAAAAGAAATGATAGTTCTCCTCAAGATAAATTATGTGCATACACACAAATAGATCAAGTCCTCAAATATCTGCTAGAGACCAGCCAATCACCTCTCTCTATGTCCTAAGTACATCAAGTAATTTATTCTCTTAATCCTTAGACAAATACTTTATTAAGGGACTAGCAATGATTTAAGTTGGGGGGTGTGATAAGTCTTCATTATCATGAGTTAATAATTAGTAAATAATATAGTTTTAGCCTTAACTAGTGATAAATAGACTTATATTTATGTTAAAGTCTGAAAAGTTGTTTTCAGTTGATTAATGTCATTTTTTGGGTAATTATATGATTTTATACGAATTTATATGATTTTTACAGTCTTACTTTTGAGATAAATGAAAAAAAAGAAATAAAACTAAAATATTGCAAAATGGGGGGACCCGCTGGCCAGCTGGACCCGCAAGTGGGTCGGAAGCGTAGTCGGGGAGTAGCCGCGAGCAAGGGCTCGAGCGGCTTGAACCGATGATGTTGGCAGATGTGCACCACTCCCCTTTCACGTCACTAGTGGCCAGCCGGCTGTGGGGCAAGGAGTGGTCGTACACGCGCGCTTGATCGAGAATGTAATATTACTTTATATTCGCCAGAAACTTTGGCACACAAGCGATGTGGGACTAAACCCGCGTCACCTTCTTTAGAAAGGGCGGGCAACCGGCGCAGGTTTGAATCCTCCTAGAGCCAAAACTCATATTTTTATCTGATTATCGCGACTTTCCTGTAGATCACCGGTAAAGGATTAAGCAACCAGAATCGCTGGATCATCGGCGAAAATCTCGTCAATGCAATTCGCGGAGCATTGTTACTCAAATTGCTGAAGGATTCGCAATAAAAGGGTCGTGAATCCATTGAGTAAATCATCTCCGATTGATCGACGAACAAGCTGTCGTCGGGAAGAGGACAATCCGCCGGGAGACAACTTGCCACCTCCTAAGAGCGTACCAGATGCGATGAAGAGCCTCCTCTTGCTGCGTGGACCTAAGAATGAAGCTCCCTGACACGCGCCCCATCTTCATCCAGCTCTTCTCTGTCGGGTGACAGCCGCCGGAGAGCCGCAAAGTCGCCGTTTTTCCGCTCCGCCGGGTGACAGCCGCCGGAGACGATTCGACGACCCATTTTATTAATCTCTAGACTTCGTGAGAAGATCTAGAGATTGCCCACGTCGTCTTTGTCCAAGGAGAGCCTTCGAGGCCGTGGACACTGCACGACGATCCTCCCGAACACTCAGAATTCTTGTACATCGCTGATGCATCGCCGCCGCGACGTCGGAACTCTGTTTTCCTGCTTTCAACTTAATTTCTGTTTCATTTAGTGATAATTTGTTGATTTTAAATTTGCCAACATATACTTCATTTTATTACGATTCTTCCGTCTTTTACAGATCTTAATTTGATCAATTAAATCATCTTTAATCGCTTAGGTAAGAATCGCTAGGCGGAACTCTATTTCCGCCAAATTCACGTTCGCCGGGCACTGACATCATCCTGACGCCTGCACCCTTGTTTCCTTTTTTTGTGAATTTTAAATATATTTCCTTTTCATTTCCTAGTATAAAATTCATAGAAAATCATATTCATTGAGAAACAAGTCTGAATAATTACCAAATATTATATTACATCCCTATGATCGACTTGAAAAATTACTGCTATTTTTGGAAGTTTTATTGAATTATAATTGATACATTTGTTCAGAAATACTTCTAAATATCTAAAAAATCGTATTTTCTAGTTTTATAAATTTTAAATTTCCGTGATTTAATATACAATGACTGAGTCACGTCAAATTTTGGCGCCATTGCTGAGGATGTATTACATAATATTTAGTATTTTTCTGTTTTTCTCTTAGAGTACACAAAAAAAAATTAACTCTTATTTTATTTTCTTTTTGCCAAATTTTTTTTTTTTAGAAAAAGGGAACGAAAAGAAGCAAGGCAAGGACTGGAGCATACTGAAGGAGGGTAACAATTAATAAACTTTTCTCTCGAATTTATTGATTTTTTATGCATGGTAGAAGATCCTTACATCCAAGGCTAGAAAATCCTTTCATTATTTCATTCAAAACTAAAAATCCGAAATAAAAATTAATTTTGATAGATCTTGAAGAAAGTACAAGTCAAATTGAGAACAATCCTATGGCCATGAAAAATTATTATATCCCTGATTCATTTCAAAGAGCATCCAATATTAGAGTCCCATTAGCACCCAATGTTAAATTCGAAATAAATCCAGGAATTTTTCAAATGCTCCTTAATTTTCATGGATTGCCTTTAAAAGAACCTCATCAGTACTTAAATAAATTTCATATGGTCTGTGATTTAGTTAATCTCCCTCAAGTTACACCGGTAATTATTAAGATGAAATTATTTCCTCATACACTTAGGGACAAAGCTAGCCATTGGCTATCTACATTAGATAGAGAATTAATTAACTAGAAAGACATAGAACAGGCCTTTCTTCGAAAATTTTATCCCTTAGGAAAAACTCAAAATATGAGAAAATATATATAGAATTTTTCTCAAAGACTAGGAGAAACTTTACATGAGACATGGGAAACATTCAAAGATTTACTTAGAAAGTGTCCTCATCATGCTATACCCAAGTGGCAGCTCAATAGAATTTTTTATGATGGATAATTAGAACATAGAAATATGGTTGATTCTATATGTGGAGGAGCTTTTATGGAGAAAACCCCTGATGAGATTTACAATCTTTATGAGAATTTAAGTGAAAATTCTAGAGATCAAGCCTCTTTTGAATTATATGACAGGGATAAGAAGAGAGGAATTCATGAATTACATCATGATAATGATTCTAAATTTAGAAATGAGGTTAATCAGATTAATCAAAGATTAGAAAAACTTGATTTACTTATTGACAATATTAGAAAGCCTCTTAACCCTCAATTTAATTCAAATAGTACATGTCCTATGTATGGTGAAAATGATCACTTCGAATTTCAATATCATCCTAGGCAAGAACAAGTACAGGTACCCCATGATTTTAGTAAAAATAGGGAATATTTTTCTAATTCTTATAATCCTAATTGGGGGAATACCTTTTCGTGGAGAAACCCAAATAATATTCAAAATCTAGAAGTACTTAGATTCAATTCAAATTTTGAATTTCGTCCAAAATAGGAACATAGATTTCAGAAAAATCAGCCCTCTCAAAACCAACCTGATACTATAGATATGATGCAGCAAATGAGCCAAATGATACAACAAATTATAAATCAAATGATGCTGCACCAGAAACAAATTATAGAGGCTCTTAGGAATAAGAGAGAAGAGGGACAGCTACCTAGTCAGCCCATAGAAAATTCAGGAAACTGTCCAACAGTAAGATTTCAGCAAGGAGAGTCTAGCTGGATAAATTTAGAAAAAAACCCACGAAATGAAAATGTTAGGTCAGTGAATACATAGAGTGAGAATATTTTACCTGATCCTTATTTCTAATTATTAGAAGAAATTGATGAGCCATTAGAAGTAAATGAGAATATTAATGCTGAAAATATAGTAGCAGAAAATTTGAATAAAAACATTTATTACTCACAATTGATGAATGAATATAGTGAGGATGATGAGGAGAAAGAGCCCTTAGATGAAGAAACAGCAGTTGATCATGGAAAAATCATCCAAATTTTAGTAGAAGGGAGTATGGACAGAAATGAAGAAAAACATATTTCAGGTGAGGAAAAATTAGTTGATTTGGGAGACATAGGAGACGAAATTAATAAATATAATCATAATTTTGTAGCCTTGGATGTTGATTGTGAGGATGATGATGTATATCATATACCGAAATTAAAAGATAGCTCTTGGGAAGATGAAGAATTTGATGAGTTGAGAAACAAAAAGCTAGAAAAAGAGTTGATTTAACTAATGGGGAGAAACGAAAATAATGGATATGAATATAGAGATAATTTTGGAAGAAAAAATTTGAATTTTATTGAATTTATTAGATTTGAGATTAAAGAAGACAATCCTTCCATCTTTCAAAACCCACAGCCCATTAGAATTACTTCTAAGTTTGAAATATTTCACTCCTTGCAAATTGAACAAATATGTATGGAAGATAAAATGGGACAGGGGAAGATTATGCAGATAAAATAACACATTAAGAAATGGGTGAGTGGAAGAATTAGAGATATCAATTTAGATGAAAAAATTTTAGATTGGGTAGGAGCTAATTTGAAAATTATATGGCCTGATCACATTTTATGGTCTATTAATAGAAAGTATTTATTAATGAATGAGAGCCTTACAAAACAAGATAGAAATAAGGAAAGATTCTTTTCAAACTAGAAATATTATTTTTCAGAAAATTTTGTTAATTTCCATTTTGTTTTGGCTGAAAGTATGTCAAGGTATATATATGAAGTATATGAATTTATGCTAAATCTGAAAAAGAATATCATGAAACTTACCTTGGGATAAAAATATATTTTGATGGGCATAGATCATCTTATATGATCTAAGAGCTGTCCAGCTGAAGACATTAAATTCAGCGCTGCATGGGAGGCAACCCATGGTTTTTATTTCATTCTCTTTGATTTTTTTAAGCTCTATTTTTCTTAGAATTTCGCAATACTTGTTTCTGTATTTGTTTTTTCGAAAAAGTGCAAGAGGAGGAGTGTAAGACGAAGTGAAAAATTAAAAACGAGGTTGAGGTGATGTCTTTTGGATCTTTATCATTTATGACAACATTTTTAATGCTTAACTTTGCATATATGCATGCTTCACTTGAAAATTATATTTTCTGTATTTTTTATTTCGAGTTTTCTGTTTCATTGAGGACAATGTAATTTTTAAGTTGGGGGGTGAAGTATTCATTATTAATTTATGCTGTAGGACGATTAAGAACATGTGTTTGCATTAGAACAACAACTGAAAAACTAAAAAATAAAATAAAATTCGGAAAAACTGCAACATCTATTTTCTGGTTTTCCGTCAGGAACAACAGACTGTCAAAAACAACAAACAAAAAACAGCTCGAAATTTGAAATTCTAGAGACCCTTTTCTCACATTTCAATCCCCTAGAAATATATTACTGAAATTCGAAATTACAGCTATAAAGAGGATAGTTTTGATTTATTTTTGACAAATTTATTGTTGCTAAAAATAGAACTAAAAATAGAAAATAGAATTGTCAGAACTCTCTAATTTACAAATTTCTTACATCATATTGCATGCATGAAAAATTAAATCAATTAGATTGATTGATACCAAAAGATACTAGGAAGATTATTATTCAGTCAAAAGAATGATCTAGTAGCATGAAATGTTGGAATACTCCTTGGATACATGATAGATAATATGGATTTGATTTTACAGATTTTCACTTCATGATCTTGATGGATAGTATTTACTTGATTTGAAAATTTGATTGATCATTTGAGTTTAATAGAGATTTTTGCACCCTGATCTATAGGACTTATAAGGAGAAATCACTTATTTCGAAAAAAAAAAGAGGGAGAGCAATGTGAAAAATCTAGAAACGAAGAGTACACATGGAGGGTGTGAGACATTATTCTCATTGTCGAAAATCGTGTATAAAAAAACACTTGCTGGAAAATAAGTGGATAAAGTGAAAGCCCTGAAAATTAAGAGTACACATGGAGGGTGTGAGACATCATTCTCATTGTTGAAATTTGTCTACATGAAAAGCTACTTATCCACTATAAAAGAAGGAAGAAATATAGTGCAAACTTCAAAAATCAAGCCATGGAAAAAGGGAAATGTAGGATCAATATTATTCTTGGATGATTATTGATAATTGGAACATCTTGTAAATATATATATGAGTGAAGAAGTGAAGTGATAAAGATGTGAATAGAAGAAGTGAAGTCTAGATTGTTATTCCAAGGAGTGCTTAAATATTTAAGTGCTTGACATCACCTCCCCCCTACTTAAGTCTTGCATTGTCTTTAATGCATGTGAGAGAAGGGAAAAGAGAAGAAAATTCTGATTTTTATGCCCCATCTACTACACTGTTGCCCCTGAACGGTTCTAACTAAAGCACTCGACCAATAAAATATGTCTAAAACAAAAGCTAGAAAGGAAATGCATAAAAAGAAATGATAGTTCTCCTCAAGATAAATTATGTGCATACACACAAATAGATCAAGTCCTCAAATATCTACTAGAGACCAGCCAAGCACCACTCTCTATGCCCTAAGTATATCAAGTAATTTATTCTCTTGATCCTTAGACAAATACGATGATATAATCATTGGATAAGCTTGATGTTAATCAAAAAATGCATACTTTAGTGAAGATGGTTGATAAGTCTTCATTATCATGAGTTAATAATTAATTAATAATATAGTTTTAATCTTAACTCATGATAAATAGACTTATATTTATGTCAAATTATGAAAAATAGTTTTTAGTTGGTTAATTTGGCTAATTATGGGATCTTGTGTGAATTTATATAATTTTTATAATCTTATTTTTGAGGTAAATGAAGACAAAAAAAATAAAAAGATAGAAGAAAGAGAAAACTTGCCACCTAGTCGAGCCCACAAGCAGGTTGGAAGCATAGACAAGCAGAATCGTGAGTAAGGGCTTGAGCGGCTAAAGACGGACTGATAGGGGACACGTGCATCACTCCCCTTCCACATCATCAATGGCTAGTCGGGCATGTGACAAAGAGCGGCCGTACACATGTGAGAAAGGGACACATTGATTATCAAGTCTAGTATTACTATATATCAACCTCAAAACTCGGCATATAATCAAATGTGGGACTAAACGTGGGGTCATAGTCTCCGAAAAGTTTTAATAATTTTAATACCTAAAATATCTCTTGTTTAGTAAACCACACAAATTTAAAATTTATAAAACTAGAAAATACTAATTTTTAGATATTTAGAAGTATTTTTAAATAATTATATCAATTATAATTTAATCAAAGTTCTAAAAATAGTGGAAAGTTTCTAGGTCAATCACAGGGATGTAATATAATATCAAGTAATATTTCAGAAATGTTCTCAAAGAATACGATTTTTTATGAATTTTAAACTAAAAAATAAATAAAGAAAATATTTTTAAAAATTTGTGAAAAAGGGAAATAAAGGTGTAGATGTCAAGATGATGTCAGCACCTAACGAATGCGAACCAAGCAGAAGTAGAATTCTGCCTGGTGATTTTTACATAAGCGATTATAGACGATTTAATTAGTCAAATTAAGATCTGTAAAAGCTAGAAGAATCGTTACAAGAAGTATTTTGCAAGCCTTGTTGATCCTAATTTCACATGTGGAAGCCCCACGAAATCAACTAAGGTGCTACTACGATTTTTATTTTATTTTTGCTAGTGTAATCTTTACCATGTTCTATCCTTTTGTCTTAGGTTTAATCATGATTAATGATTTGTAAAAGCATCAACTAATTTGAAAACTTTTCAACCGACTATTGATCAAGAAAGAGAAGGATTCAATTTACTACTCATAGTTAATAATAAGAATTCATAACATAAATCCGGCAGAAGATCAAACTAGATTTTCTCAATTTAAGAGTGTGGGTTATATGCACCGTGAAAGGTCATGAACTTCATCATTTAGTTATAAGCATTATAGCACCTGATGTAATCTCATGTATTCACCCTCATGCATTTATTCTTCCCCCCCAAACAACCATTCGCATTGTCCTCAATGCATCTATATAAGAGAAAAAGGAGAAAGCATTAAATGTGCAAACTGATTTTCACTCTTCATCCTTTTGATTTTCTTTTGTATTAATCCGTGTCATGATATGCACTTCCTCTAGAACGCTGGATCTGTTCGCTTAATAAAAACTCAAGAGAAACATCAAAGGATAGAGAAAAATAATAAAAAGGGAATGTAGTGGAAAAGAAAGCTATGCCATCTTAGAGTACATGATGGAGGGGAAGTTATAAGAAGATTGAGGTTCAATGGATGGATCATATAATTGAGTGCAAATGGGTAAAGAAGGAGGGTTTGTTTCTAAATAAGGTTTTAATCTTTGCCCATTCACATTAAAATTTTTACCAGTTTTCAGATCTGCAATTAATATTGCACCACAGTCAAAAACTTTAATCACAAGGTATGGTCCATCCCATCTAGATTTTAATTTCTCGAGGAATAGTTTCAATCGAGAATTGTAAAGCCACTCTTTTTGATGCTCATGAAAACTCTTTCTGCTCACCTTCTTGTTATAAAAAGCCTTCATTTTTGCTCTATAAATCAGAGACTTCTCGTACATCTCATTGGGTAGTTCTTGAAGCTCTTGCAACTACAACATACGGTGCTTACCTACGACGTCTAAAGAGAGATTAAGATTCTTTATAGCCTAATAAGCCTTATGTTTGATCTTCATAGGAAGGTGACAAACCTTTTGATGCGACTTAGTCGTTGTATTGTAAATCATGTAAATTTAAAAATTATAAAACTAGAAAATACTAATTTTTAAATATTTAGAAATATTTCTGAACAAATATATCAATTATAATTTTATAAAATTTACAAAAATACTGGTAATTTTTTAAGTCGATCAGAAGGATATAATATAATATTGGGTAATTTTTTAGTATTTTCCTCAAAGAATATAATATTTTCTGAATTTTATACTAAGAAATGAAAATAAAATCTATTTAAAATTCGTGAAAAAAGGAAATAAGGGTGCGGATGTTAGGCTGACGTCAGCATCCGACAAACGCGAATCAACAGAAATAGAGTTCCACCTAGTGATTCTTACGTAAGCGATTACAAATGATTTAATTGATCAAATTAAGATCTGTAAAAGGCGGAAGAATCGTAATTGAATGAAATATAGCTTGGTAAATTTAAATCACACAAATTATCAGTAATGAAGTACAAATTAAGTTGAAAGTAGAAAAATAAAGTTCTAGCATCACGACGGTAATCTGTCGACGATGCACGGAAATTCTGAACATTCGGGAAGATTGTCGTGTAGTGTCCATGGCCTCGAAGGCTCTCTTTGGACAAGGACGACATGGGCAATTTGAAGATATCCTTGCGAAGTCTAGAGATCAATGAAATGGGTTGTCAAATCGTCTCCGGTAGTTGTCACTCAGCGGAGTGAAAAAATGATGACTTTGTGGCTCTCTAGTGGCTGTCACTAACGTGACTTAGTCATTGTATATTAAATCACGTAAATATAAAATTTATAAAACTAGAAAATATGAATTTTCAGATATTTAAAAGTATTTATGAACAAATATATCAATTATAATTCAATAAAACTTTCAAAAATAGCAGTAATTTTTCAGGTTGATCACAGGGATGTAATATAATATTTGGTAATTATTCAGAATTGTCGGCAAAGAATACTATTTTCTATGAATTTTATACTAAGAAATGAAAAGAAAATATATTTAAAATTCACGGAAAAAGGAAATAAGGGTGTAGATGTCAGGATGATGTCAGCACCCGGCAAATGCAAATTGGGCAAAAATAGAGTTCTGCCTGGCGATTCTTATGTAAGCGATTACAGATGATTTAATTGATCAAATTAAGATCTGTAAAAGCCGGAAGAATCGTAATTGAACGAAGTATATTTTGATAAATTAAAATCACACAAATTATCACTAAATGAAGCGTAAAGTAAGGTGAATGCACGAAAATAGAGTTCTGGCGTCGCGGCGGTGATACGTCGGCGATGCACCAGAATCTTGAGTGTTCAGGAGGATAGTCATGCAGTGTCCATGGCCTTGAAGGCTCTCCTTGGACAAGGACGATGTGGGTAATCTCTAGATCTCCTTGCAAAGTCTAGAGATCAATGAAATGAGTCGTCGAATCATCTCCGGCGGCTGTCACCGGGTAGAGTAGAAAAACGGCGACTTTGTGGCTCTCCGACGGCTGTCACCTGACAGTGAGGAGCTGGATGGGGGTGGGGCGCGTGTCAGGGAGCTTCATCCTCAAGTCCGCGCAGCAAGAGGAGGCTCTTCATCGCATCTAGTATGCTCTCAGAGGTGGCGACTTGTCTCCCGGCGGATCATCCTCTTCCCGATGACGGCTTGTTCATCGATAAATCAGAGATGCTTTACTTGATGGATTCACGATCCTTGTATTGCGAATTGACGTGACTCAGTCGTTGTATATTAAATCATGCAAATCTAAAATTTATAAAACTAGAAAATACGATTTTTCAGATATTTAGAAGTATTTCTGAACAAATGTATCAATTATAATTCAATAAAACTTCCTCAAATACTAGTAATTTTCTTGGTCGATCACAAGGATGTAATATAATATTTGGTAATTATTCAGATTTTTTCTCAATGAATATAATTTTCTATGAATTTTATATTAGGAAATGAAAAAGAAATATATTTAAAATTCACGAAAAAAGGAAATAAGGGTGCGGACGTCAAAATGACGTTAGTGCCCGACGATTGCGAATCGGGAAAAAACAGAGTTCCACCCGGCGATTCTTATGTAAGCGATTACACACGATTTAATTGATCAAATTAAGATCTGTAAAAGCCGGAAGAATCGTAATTGAACGAAGTATATTTTGGTAAATTAAAATCACACAAGGTATCACTAAATGAAGCGTAAATTAAGTTGAAAGCAAGAAAACAGAGTTCCGGCATCGTGGCGGCGATGCGTCGGCAATGCACCGGAATCGTGAGCGTTTGGGAGGATTGTCTTGTAGTGTCCACAGCCTTGAAGGCTCTCCTTGGACAAAGATGACGTGGGCAATCTCTAGATCTCCTTGAGAAGTCTAGAGATTAATGAAATGGGTCGTTGACTCGTCTTCGGCGGCTGTCACCCGGCGGAGCGGAAAAACGGCAACTTTGCGGCTCTCCGGCGGCTGTCACCCGACGGAGAGGAGCTGGATGGAGGTGGGGCGCATGTCAGGGAGCTTCATCCTCGGGTCTGCGCAGCAAGAGGAGGCTCTTCATCGTATCTGGTACGCTCTCAGGAGGTGGCGACTCGTCTCCCAACAGATCGTCCTCTTCCCGACGACGGCTTGTTTGTCGATCAATCGGAGATGCTTTACTCGATGGATTCCAGATCCTTTTATCGTGAATCGTTCAGCATGTTTAGTAACAATGCTCCGCGAATCGTGTTGACGAGATTTTCACCGATGATCCAACGATTCTAGTTGCTTAATCCTTCACTGGCGCTCTGCAAGAAAGTCACGATAATCAAATAAAAAATATGAGTTTTGGCTCTGAGAGGATTCGAACGCGCACCGGTTGCCCGCCCTTTCTGGGGAAGGTGACGCGGGTTTAGTCCCACATTGGTTGTGCGCCGAAGTTTCTGGTGAATATAAAGTAATATTACATTCCCGATCAAGCGTGCGTGTATGACCACTCCTTGCCCCACAGCCGACTGGCCACTGGTGACGTGGAAGGGGAGTGGCGTACACGTTCCCCCATCGGTTCAAGCCGCTTGAGCCCCTGCTCGCGGCTATTTCCTGACTGCGCTTCCGACCCGCTCGCGGGTCTGGCTGGCCGGCGGGTCCCCCCATTTTGCAATTTTTTTTTTAATTCTTTTTCTTCATTTATCTCAAACGTAAGACTGTAAAAAGCATATAAATTTGTATAAAATCACATAATTACCTAAAAAATCACATTAATCAACTAAAAACACTTTTCACACTTTAACACAAATATAAGTCTATTTATCATGAGTTAAGGCTAAAACTATATTATTTACTAATTATTAACTCATGATAATGAAGACTAATCACGAATTGTTCAGCAATTTTAGTAACAATGCTCTGCGAATCGCATTGACGAGATTTTCACCGATGATCCAGCGATTCTGGTTGCTTAATCCTTCACCAACGATCTGCAGAAAAGTCGCGATAATCAGATAAAAAAGATGAGTTTAGGCTCTGGGAGGATTCGAACCCACGGCGGTTGCCCCGCCCCTTTTGAAAAGGTGACGCGGGTTTAGTCCCACATCGGTTGTGCGTCAAATTTTCGGACGAATATATAGTAATGTTAGATTTCTAAGCAAGTCCCTTTCTCGCACGTGTATGACCACTCCTTGCCCCACAGTCGGCTGGCCACCGGTGATGTGGAAGGGGAGTGGCGCACACGTGCCCCCATCGGTTCAAGCCGCTCAAGCCCCTGCTCGCGGCTACTCCCCGACTACACTTCCGACCTGCTTGCCCCGACTGGCTGGCAGGTCCCCCAATTTTGCTATATTTTTATTTTAATTTCTTTTCCTTTATTTATCTCAAAAGTAAGATTGTAAAAATCTTATAAACTCACATAATTACCTAAAAATTCACGTTAATCAACTGAAAACTACTTTTCACACTTTAACACAAATATAAGTCTATTTATCATGAGTTAAGGCTAAAACTATATTATTTACTAATTATTAACTCATGATATTAAAGACTTATCACACCCCCCAACTTAAATCATTGCTAGTCCCTTAGCAATGGAATTACGAAAATAAAAATTTATAAATCTCAAACATCATATTTCAATATAGAAAGAAAATAAAATACAATTAGAAATGATGCACCTTTAGACACTTTGGACTCTTATATCAAGTATTTAAGAATGATGTCAAGCACTTAGATGTTTAAGTACTCCTTGGAATAACAATCTAGACTTCACTTCTTCTATTCACATCTTTATCACTTCTTTACTCATAGATATATTTACAAGATGTTCCAATTATCAATAATCATCTAAGAATAATATTGATCCTACATTTCCCTTTTTCCATGGCTTGATTTTTGAAGTGTGCACTATATTTCTTCCTTCTTTTTTTTTTGATATATATAGTGGATAAGTAGCTTTTCCTGTAGACAAATTTTGACAATAAGAATGATGTCTCACAGCCTCCATGTGTACTCTTCATTTTCAGGGCTTTCACTTTATCCACTTATTTTGCAGTAAGTGTTTTTCTATACACGATTTTCGACAATGAGAATAATGTCTCACACCCTCCATGTGTACTCTTCGTTTCTAGATTTTTCACATTGCTCTCCCTCTTTTTTTCAAAATAAATGATTTCTCCTCACAAGTCCTATAGATCAGGGTGCAAAAATCTCTATTAAACTCAAATGATCAATCAAATTTTCACATCAAGTAAATACTATCCATCAAGATCATGAAGTGAAAATCTGTAAAATCAAATCCATGTTATCTATCATGTATCCAAGGAGTATTCCAACATTTCATGCTACTAGATCATTCTTTTGACTCAATAATAATCTTCCTAGTATCTTTTGGTTAATCAATCTAATTGATTTAATTTTTCATGCATGCAATATGATGTAAGAAATTTGTAAATTAGATAGTTCTGACAATTCTATTTTCTGTTTTTAGTTCTATTTTTAGCAACAATAAATTTGTCAAAAATAAATCAAAACTATCCTCTTTATAGTTGTAATTTCGAATTTCAGTGATATATGTCTAGGAGATTGAAATGTGAGAAAAGGGTCTCTAGAATTTCAAATTTCAGGCTGTTTTTTGTCTGTTGTTCCTAACAGAAAATCAGAAAATAGATATTGCAGTTTTTACGAATTTTATTTATTATTTTTTTTTTTCAGTTGCTGTTCTAATGCAAACACATGTTCTTAATCATCCTACAGCATAAATTAATAATGAATACTTCACCCCCCAACTTAAAAATGACATTGTGCTCAATGACACAGAAAATCAAAATAGAATATGTAGAAAATATAATTTTCAAGTGAAGCATGCATATGCGCAAAGTTAAGCATTAAAAATATTTTCATAATTGATAAAACTCAGAAAGACATCACCCCAACCTCGTTTTTAATTTTTCACTTCATCTTACACTCCTCCTCCTGCACTTTTTCGAAAAAACAAATACAAAAACAAGTACTGCAAAATTCTAAGAAAAATAGAGCTTAGAAAAAAATCAAACAGAATGAAATAAAAACCATGGGTTGCCTCCCATGTAGCACTAGATTTAATATCTTCAGCTGGACAGCTCTTAGATCATATAAGATGATCTATGGCCATCAAAATATATTTCTATCCCTAGGTAAGTTTCATGATATTCTTTTTCAGATTTAGCATAAATTCATATACTTCATATATATACCTTGACATACTTTCAGCCAAAAAAAAATGGAAATTAACAAAATTTTCCCAAAAATAATATTTCCATTTTGAAAAGAATCTTTCCTTATTTCTATCTTGTTTTGTAAGGCTCTCATTCATTAATAAATACTCTTTCTATTAATAGACCATAAAATGTGATCAGGCCATATAATTTTCAAATTAGCTCTTACCCAATCTAAATTCTTTTCATCTAAATGATATCTCTAATTCTTCCACTCACCCATTTCTTAATGTGTTCTTTTATCTACATAATCTTCCCCTGCTCCATTTTATCTTCCATACATATTTGTTCAATTTGCGAGGAGTGAAATATTTCAAGCTTAGAAATAATTCTAATGGGCTGTGGGTTTTGAATGATGGAAGGATTACCTTCTTTAATCTCAAATCTAATGAATTCAGTAAAATTCAAATTTTCTCCTCCAAAATTATCTCTATATTCATATTCATTATTTTCGTTTCTCTCCATTAGTTGAATTAACTCTTTTTCTAGTTTTTCATTTCTCAACTCATCAAATTCTTCATCTTCCCAAGAGCTATCTTTTAATTTTGGTATATGATATACATCATCATCCTCACTATCAACATCCATGGCTGCAAAATTATGATTAGGTTTATTAATTTTGTCTCCTACATCTCCCAAAACAACTGATTTTTCCTCACCTGAAATATGTTTCTCTTCATTTCTGTCCTTACTCCCTTCTACTAAAATTTGGATGATTCTTCATTCTAAGGGCTCTTTCTCCTCATCATCCTCACTATATTCATTCATCAATTGTGAGCAATAAATGATTTTATTCAAATTTTCTGCTACTATATTTCTAGCCTTAATATTCTCATTTACTTCTATTGGCTCATCAATTTCTTCTAATAATTGGAAATATGGATTTGGTAAAACATTCTCACTCAATGTATTCACTGTCCTAACATTTTCATTTCGTGGGTTTTTTTCTAAATTTATCCAGCTAGACTCTCCTTGCTGAAATCCTACTATTGGACAGTTTCCTGAATTTTCTATGGGCTGACTAGGTGGCTGTCCCTCTTCTCTCTTATTCCCAAGAGTTTCTATAATTTGTTTCTAGTGCAACATCATTTGATTCATAGTTTGTTGCATCATTTGGCTCATTTGCTGCATCATTTCCATAGTATCAGGTTGGGTTTGAGAGGGCTGATTTTTCTGAAATCTATATTCTTGTTTTGGACGAAATTTAGAGTTTGAATTGAGTCTAAGTGCTTCTGAATTTTGAATATTATTTTCATGAAAAATTATTCTTCCAATTAGGATTATAAGAATTTGAAAAAGGTTCCCTATTTCTATTAAAACCGTGAGCTACTTGCACTTGTTCTTGCCTAGGGTGAAATGATTGATCTAAATTATAGTATTGAAATTCAGAATAATCATTTTCACCATACATAGGAGATGTACTATTTGAATTAAATTGAGGGTTAAGAGGCTTTCTAATATTGTCAATAAGTAAATCAAGTTTTTCTAATCTTTGATTAATCTGATTAACATCATTTCTCAATTTAGTCATCATGATGCAATTCATAAATTCCTCTCTTCTTATCCCTATCATATAATTCAAAAGAGGCTTGATCTCTAGAATTTTCACTTAAATTTTCATAAAGACTGTAAATCTCATCAGGGGTTTTCTCCATAAAAGCTCCTCCACATATAGAATCAACCATATTTCTATGTTGTTCTAATAATCCATCATAAAAAATTCTATTGAGCTGCCACTTTGGTATAGCATGATGAGGACACTTTCTAAGTAAATCTTTGAATTTTTCCCATGTCTCATGCAAAGTTTCTACTGGTCTTTGAGAAAAATTCTATATATGTTTTCTCATATTTTGAGTTTTTCCTAAGGGATAAAATTTTCGAAGAAAGGCTTGTTCTATGTCTTTTCAGCTAGTTAATTCTCTATCTAATGTGGATAACCAATGGCTAGCTTTGTCCCTAAGTGTATGAGGAAATAATTTCATCTTAATAATTTCCGGTGTACCTTGAGGGACATTAACTAAATCACAAACCATATGAAATTTTTCTAACTGTTGATGAGGTTCCTCTAAAGGCAATCCATGAAAATTAGGGAGCATTTGAAAAATTCCTAGATTTATTTCGAATTTAACAGTGGGTGCTAATGGGACTCTAATATTGGATGCTCTTTGAAATGAATCAGGGATATAATAATTTTTCATGGCCATAGGATTGTTCTCAGTTTGACCTGTACTTTCTTCAGGATCTATCAAAATTAATTTTTTTCTTTCGGATTTTTAGTTTTGGATGAAATAATAGAAGGATTTTCTAGCCTTGGATGCAAGGATCTTCCACCATGCATAAAAAAAAGTAATAAATTCGAGGGAAAAAAGTTTAGTAATTGTTACCCTCCTTCAGTATGCTCCAGTCCTTGCCTTGCTTCTTTTCATTCCCTTTTTCTAAAAAAAAATTTCGGCAAGAAAAAAATAAAACAAGAGTTAATTTTATTTTTTTTGTACTCTAAGAAAAAAATAGAAGAATACTAAATGTATGCAATACATCTCCGGCAACGGCGCCAAAATTTGATGTGACTTAGTCGTTGTATATTAAATCACGCAAATATAAAATTTATAAAACTAGAAAATATAAATTTTCAAATATTTAGAAGTATTTCTGAACAAATATATCAATTATAATTCAATAAAACTTCCAAAAAAAACACTAATTTTCCAGGCCAATCACAAGGATGTAATATAATATCTAGTAATTATTCAGAAGTTTTTGCAAAGAATACTATTTTCTATGAATTTTATACTAGGAAATGAAAAGGAAATATATTTAAAATTCACGGAAAAAGAAAATAAGGGTGCAGACGTCAAGATGACATCAGCGCCCGACAAATGCGTATCAGGCGGAAACAGAGTTCCACCCGACGATTCTTAGGTAAGCGATTACAGATGATTTAATTGATCAAATTAAGATCTGTAAAAGTCGGAAGAATCGTAATTGAACGAAGTACATTTTGGTAAATTAAAATCACACAAATTATCACTAAATGAAGCGTAAAGTAAGGTGAAAGTAGGAAAGCAGAGTTTCGGCATCGCGGCGGCGATGCATCGGCAATGCATTAGAATCCTGAGCATTCGGGAAGATAGTCGTGTAGTGTCTACAGCCTTGAAGGCTCTCTTTGGACAAGGACGATGTGGGCAATCTCTTGATCTCCTTGCAAAGTCTAGAGATCAATGAAATGGGTCGTCAAATCATCTCTAACGGCTATCACCCGGCGGAGCAGAAAAAGGGCGACTTTGCGACTTTGCTGTTACCCGACCGAGAGGAGCTGGATGGAGGTGAGGCGTGTGTCAAGGAGCTTCATCCTCAAGTTCGTGCAACAAGAGTAGGCTCTTCATCGCATCTGGTACGCTCTCAGGAGGTGGCGACTCATCTCCCGGCGGATTATCCTCTTCCCGACGACAGCTTGTTCGTCGATCAATCGGAGATGCTTTACTTGTTGGATTTGCGATCCTTTTATCGTGAATTGTTCAACAATTTTAGTAACAATGCTCCGCGAATTGCGTTGACAAGATTTTCGCCGATGATCCAGCGATTCTTGTTGCTTAATCCTTCCGTGGCGGTCTGAAGGAAAGTCATGATAATCAGATAAAAAAATATGAGTTTTGGCTTTGGGAGGATTCGAACCCACGCCGGTTGCCCCACCCCTTCTGGGAAGATGACGCGGGTTTGGTCTCACATCGGTTGTGCGTCGAATTTTCGGACGAATATATAGTAATGTTAGATTTCTAAGCAAGTCCGTTTCTCGCGCGTGTACGACCACTCCTTGCCCCACAGCCGGCTTGCCACCAGTGATGTGGAAGGAGAGTGACACACACGTGCCCCCATTAGTTCAAGCCGCTCGAGCCCCTGCTCACAGTTACTCCCCGACTATGCTTCCGACCCGCTTGCGGGCCCGCCAGGCCAGCAGGTCCCCCCATTTTACTATGTTTTTTTTTTATTTCTTTTCCTTCATTTATCTCAAATATAAGACTGTACAAATCGTATAAAATCACATAATTACCTAAAAATTCACATTTATCAACTTAAAACCATTTTTCACACTTTAACACAAATATAAGTCTATTTATCATGATTTACGGCTAAAACTATATTATTTACTAATTATTAACTCATGATAATGAAGACTTATCAGTCACCTGACGGAGAGGAGCTAGATGGAGGTGGGGCGCGTGTTAAGGAGCTTCATCCTTAGGTCCGTGCAGCAAGAGGAGGCTCTTCATCGCATCTAATATGCTCTCAAAAGGTTGCGACTGACGTGACTCAGTCGTCGTATATTAAATCACGCAAATATAAAATTTATAAAACTAGAAAATACGAATTTTCAGATATTTAGAAGTATTTCTAAATAAATATATCAATTATAATTCAATAAAAATTCCAAAAATAGCGGTAATTTTCCAGGTCGATCACATGGATGTAATATAATATCTAGTAATTATTCAGAATTTGTCTCAATGAATACGATTTTCTATGAATTTTATACTAGGAAATAAAAAGGAAATATATTTAAAATTCACGAAAAAGGGAAATAAGGGTGCATACATGATGATGACATCAGCACCCGGCGAGCGCAAATAACCCGACAATTTCCCCCGTATGGAGCAACCGTCGCCCGACGATTCTTACGTAAGCGATTACAGACGATTTAATTGATCAAATTAAGATCTGTAAAATCCAGAAGAATCGTAATGGAATGAAGAATAGTTTGGTAAATTCAAATCACACAAAGTATCACTAAATGAAGCGTAAATTAAATTGAAAGCAGGAAAACAGAGTTCCGACGTCGCGACGGCGATGCGTCGGCGATGCACCGGAATCCTGAGCGTTCGGGAGGATCGTCGTGCAGTGTCCACGGCCTCGAAGGCTCTCCTTGGACAAAGACGACGTGGGCAATCTCTAAATCTTCTCGCGAAGTCTAGAGATCAATGAAGTGGGTCATCAAATCGTCTCCGGTGGCTGTCACCCAGCGGAGCGGAAAAACGGGGACTTTGCGGCTCTCCGGCGGCTGTCACCTGATGGAGAGGAGCTGGATGGAGGTGGGGCGTGTGTTAGGGAGCTTCATCCTCAGGTCCGCGCAGCAAGGGGAGGCTCTTCATCACATCTGGTATGCTCTCAGGAGGTGGCGACTCGTCTCCCGGCGGATCGTCCTCTTCCCGATGACGGCTTGTTCATCGATCAATCGGAGATGATTTACTCGATGGATTCGCGATCCTTTTATCGTGAATCGTTAAGCAACTTTAGTAGCAATGCTCCGCGAATCACGTTGACGAGATTTTCGCCGATGATCCAGCGATTCTGGTTGCTTAATCCTTCAGCGGCGATCTGCAGGAAAGTCGCGATAATCAGATAAAAATATATGAATTTTGACTCTGGGAGGATTTGAACCCGCGCCAGTCGCCCCGCCTCTTCTGAGGAAGGTGTGACGGGGGTTTAGTCCCACATCGGTTGTGCACCAATTTTTCGGGCGAATATATAGTAATGTTAGCTTTGTAAGTAAAGTCTCTTCTCTCGCGTGTACGACCACTCCTTGCCCCACAGCCGGCTGGCCACCGGTGACGTGGAAGGGGAGTGGCGTACACGTGCCCTATCGGTCCCCAAGCCAAGCCGCTCGAGCCCTTGCTCGCAGCTACTCCCCGACTGCGCTTCCGACCCGCTTGCGGGCCCGGCTAGCCGGCGGGTCCCCCCATTTTTGCAATATTTTTATTTTTATTTCTTGTTCTTCATTTATCTCGAAAGTAAGACTGTAAAAATCGTATAAAATCACATAATTACCCAAAAATTCACGTTAATCAACTGAAAACCACAAATCATTTTTTCACACAAATATAAGTCTATTTATCATGAGTTAAGGCTAAAACTATATTATTTACTAATTATTAACTCATGATAATGAAGACTTATCAGCGACTCATCTCCCAGCAGATCGTCCTTGATAAGTCTTCATTATCATGGGTTAATAATTAGTAAATAATATAGTTTTAGCCTTAACTCATGATAAATAGACTTATATTTGTGTTAAAGTGTGAAATGTGGTTTTCAGTTGATTAATGTGATTTTTTAGATAATTATGTGATTTTATACAAATTTATATGATTTTTACAGTCTTACTTTTGAGATAAATGAAGAAAAAGAAATAAAACTAAAATATTGCAAAATGGGGGGAACCTGCCGGCCAACTGGGCCCGCAAGCGGGTCGGAAGCTCAGTCGGGGATTATCCGCGAGCAGGGGCTCAAGCGGCTTGGACCGATAGGGGCACATGTGCACCACTCCCCTTCCACGTCACCGGTGGCCAGCCGACTGTGGGGCAAGGAGTGGTCGTACACGCGAGAGAAGGGACTTTGCTTAGAAAGCTAACATTACTTTATATTCACTTGAAAAATCGGCGCACAACCGATGTGGGACTAAACCCGCGTCACACCTTCCTCGGAAGGGGCGGACAACCGGCGCGGGATCGAATCCTCCTAGAGTCAAAATTCATATATTTTTATCTGATTATCGCGACTTTCCTGCAGATCGCCGCTGAAGGATTAAGCAACCAGAATCGCTGGATCATCGGCAAAAATCTCGTCAACGCGATTCGCGGAGCATTGCTACTAAAGTTGCTTAACGATTCACGATAAAAGGATCGCGAATCCATCGAGTAAATCATCTCCGATTGATCGATGAACAAGCCGTCATCGGGAAGAGGACGATCCGCCGGGAGACGAGTCGCCACCTCCTGAGAGCGTACTAGATGTGATGAAGAGCCTCCCCTTGCTGCGCGGACCTGAGGATGAAGCTCTCTGACACACGCCCCACCTCCATCCAGCTCCTCTCCATCGGGTGACAGCCGCCGGAGAGCCGCAAAGTCCCCGTTTTTCCGCTCCGCTGGGTGACAGCCACCGGAGACGATTTGATGACCCACTTCATTGATCTCTAGACTTCACGAGAAGATCTAGAGATTGCCCACGTCATCTTTGTCCAAGGAGAGCCTTCGAGGCTGTGGACACTACACGACGATCCTCCCAAACGCTCAGGATTCCGGTGCATCACCGACGCATCGTCGTCGCGACGTCGGAACTCTATTTTCCTGCTTTCAATTTAATTTACGCTTCATTGAGTGATACTTTGTGTGATTTGAATTTACCAAAATATACTTCGTTCAATTACGATTCTTTCAGCTTTTACAGATCTTAATTTGATTAATGAAATCGTCTGTAATCGCTTACATGCGAATCGCCGGGCGGAACTTTGTTTCCGCCCGATTCGCATTCGCCGGGCGCTTATGTAATCCTCACGTCCGCACCCTTATTTCCTTTTTTCGTGAATTTTAAATATATTTCCTTTTCATTTCCTAGTATAAAACTCATAGAAAATCGTATTCATTGAGAAAAAATCTGAATAATTACAAAATATTATATTACATCCCTGTGATTGACCTGGGAAATTACTGCTATTTTTGGAAGTTTTATTGAATTATAATTGATATATTTATTTAGAAATACTTCTAAATATCTGAAAATTCGTATTTTCTAGTTTTATAAATTTTATATTTGCGTGGTTTAATATACAACAACTAAGTCACGTCAGGTATATATGATGACATTCATCCATGTGAATCATATAAGATTTAACTTTGTCAAAATATGCTTTTCAAATTGAAAACATTACAAAGCATAGCTATGTGACTTTTATTTCAAACTCCTCTTTATCTACCCAATCTTCTATGAATTTAGATGTTTCTTAATTTTTAGATCATCACTAAAGAAATCATACTTTTACTATGATGGGAACCAATTATGGCATTACATTACTTTCAATTTTGGACTGCATGTGGTTCTGAACACATTATGGGGTGGATGTGTGTCCTTTGGTGGACACATAAGCTTCCAATACATAATTATTATTTCTTCATAACTTTACGTATTCTAATAAATAATATTTCTAATAATATTTAATATTCTAATAAATAAATATAACCTAAACTATAAAATTCGTGCCATTTAATCCAATACTTGTAGTGTTCATTTATTTAATGATAAATTTTTTAGTTTTGGTAAACTATAGTAATTATTCATTGCAACTAATCATTATGATTGTATGAAATAATATTAGATTTCTTCCCTTTAATACTGTATTTTTATGTGCCAGCTTTCTTATAAAGAAGTAATATTCATTATTTATGCATAAAATTTACATTTATGGGTCTAATAATTGTTTTTGATAATTTGTAAGTGTGAATGTACTTAAACATATTATATTCCTGTACTTAATAGGTTACGTCTAAAGTGGTGCCATTTCCAAGGTGAATAAATAGTAGGTACAAAACATTTCTAAAGTTTAAATGTTGGCAATAAATGATACATATTCCTAGCAAAAGTAACTATTATATAAATATCTACTTATACTCACGCCCTCTAAATGATTGTCTTATATTATTATCATTGATTGATATAGTTTCTCTTTTTGCATAAATAATTACACACCTTTATCAATAGTTATGATTACATTAAAAAAGTATTATATTCATGCCCTTAATATGAGGCTTTTAAACTATCATTTTCTTTATGAATAAATAAGAACAATAATAATAAATAATTTAGTCATGAGATTTATGTTTTCTCAATTGGCACTTTACAGATTTTATTTATATTCTTACATGTACATGGTCATGGTCTGTCATCAATCAAACATTTTATCCGTTTCTTTCTATGACACTCATCTTCTTCATGATTTACCTGCAATCTTCCACGTTTTTGGTGAACCTGTTGGAAACATGGTCAGCCTATTTAACAACAGATGATAGAGCCATGAAAAAGAGATAAAACCATCTGACATAAAATAAAAATATGCGAGGTAATTTCAGTGATGTCATGTTTGCAACCACCTTCAAAATTGCATCAATCCGAATGGTCTTTAACAGGGTGCAGGGGGAGCATATCAAGCTTCCAAAAAGAGAAATGAGCTTCGAGTAGGTGGGCTGCTCAACAAATTGTATCTTCTTCACTGCTTCAAGGAATTGTGCGAAAGGAGGGGGACAGCCACCACACAGCATCTCGGGGGAGGTTACAGTCTTGTTCATGAAGACTAGAAACCTCTTGTCATTCCCCTACATAGTTGGCATAAGAATCAGCAAGTGATGAATCAAAGAGATGGGAGAACATGTACAAGTAGAGGTGGAAGCAAACCTGATAGCCTTCCCACGGCAGCCTTCCTTTAATCAAAAAAATCAGAGTGTAGGCCAATGACTCAAGATCATCTCTTCTACTCGCTGTGAGGCCTAAATGTGCATGGACGCTTGCATATCGTGTTGTGCCCCTAGGGAACATGAGATAGATAGTAAGGTAGGGGTAAGATTTTATGAATCCTCATCTTAGCTAAGAATTTAGGGAAAAAATAGAATATCGTTTCCCAAAAAACCTGAAATTATCTGGCTGTTGGCATAATCTGACATGCTGGCCTGACAAACTGTCCCTCCACATTGAAGCTGATTAAAATATTAATGACACCAATTAGCATTTGTACAGGCTCTGAACAAAGCACAAAAATATCACTGATGTTGATACAGACAGGGACTTCTCAGTCAAGACAAATTTGTTTATATACTTGGAAAAACAAACCCTACTCTAAAATCAATAGGCACGAGAGGTGAAAACAAGAAGTGATTGGAATGCAGCAACATACCCAGCCCAAAGTCGATGAGAAAAAGCTTCTTCTCCCCTGAGCTTCCGGGTTTACCCAACAATAAATTCTCTGGCTTGACGTCTCCATGCACAAACCTGGCATGTTTTTTTTTTGTGTGGGTGGAGGGAGGGAGTGCACAAGGGAGCAATGAATTAATTACTGTGACCTTTGCGAAAATATAATTGAAAAAATATCACACTGCCACAAAGCCATACATACCCTTTTTGGTGTAGCTTCTCAAGGATGGATATTGCCTCCACAGCAATACAAGCCACCATATTTGGTGGCATTCTGTCCAAGGAGTTAGTCAAACTCAATAGCACAATTTTCAACAGAATATTGACTTTGAATATGAAGTCAAGATTATTTTCTTACACTTGCCCAATGGATATGAACACATCCAGAAGACTTGGTCCAAGGATGTCCATGATCTGCAGCAATCATCATCAACAATATCATAACTAGCTTTCAATAAAAAAATATAATTCGAGGAAACAATAAAATGAAAGACTCTATGCCAACCATGACGAAATAATCTCCTTGGCGGCCCTTGTAGTGCACCCTAGGCAATCCATAGCATCCCTTGAGATGGCTAAAACCATATTCACAAAGTCAGGTGAAGAACATAGTTTTAGATCGACACAATACGTAATAAATTAGAGCAGTAGGGGGTGTCTTCTTACTCATAAACTTGCCATTCATATGGGGGGCCAAATCTGCAACCCGTGCTATTTCTATGCTCAAACTTCAGTGCTACCTACACCCACCGCAGGAAAATGAAAGAGACAACATAAAACAGCAGTATTTAAAGATTCCCGTGGCAGGAGTGATGGGAGGTTGAAACTAAACCTTAAAGGCATTGGGCCCATTGCCCTGAGATCCACCAGCCACCCTTCGTCCAATGTAGACCAGCCCAAAACCTCCTGCTCCCAACATTCTCTCTACCTTGTATAATGGAGAATTTCCGACCTGCACCTGTCGATTTTGGATAGGACATTCCTATTGTCAAGATGTGATGTGCTTTGGGATGGGGAGAGAAAGCTCTCTACAGTCGCCGTCAAGGAAAGGAATGAGGGACGTCGAAGCATGTACCCGATCCGGGATGGGAGACATCCTCGCTTCCTCCTGTAGCCCGACAACCTCGTCCACACTTCCTCCCTCGATTCCAGCTGCTTTCTCAACAGGACAGCCCGCCACCAAGTTCTGATGGCTTTTCTGGGTGGGGAATAACGCTCGGGAGAGGTGCAGGTACGGAGGGTGTTGTTTCCTGCCGGAAATCACCGGGTTCTTCTCCAGACCCTGGTCGATCGCTCAGCGATCTGAAAATCGAATGTGCCCCTTGATTCAACACGCTCACCCGTCACCGTCAATCGATAAACCTTGCTGAAATAATCTTTTCTCCTCCAGACTGTAACACTCATCCGTCCCCAAAGAGCAATCTGATGGAAGTCTAAAGAAGAAGATAGATCCCCCTACCCAGACCAAACATCAAATCGAATCAGCAACGAAGCGGCAAAACAAATCGGAAGAAAGTAAATAAATAAGAGGAAGGAGGAAAGCCAGAGCTTTCTTCAGCAATCTCGCACCACCCGCACCACCGCAGGCAACCGAAAGTCCAAATCAAAGAAAATAAAGATCCCATCGAAAGAGTCCACAAGAAGATGCCCCCGACACAGAGAAAATCACGAACCCATCGAAAGACGGCACTAGAACATAACCCCCGAATCAACGAAAGGCGAGAATTCGTCGAAAGACGGCACCAGAACATACCCGGAGCGGCCTTTCAGGGAAGCAGAAGCCTGGGAACGTACGACCTCTCCGTGAGGCGGCGCCGACCGTGACCTCGGCGTCTTCGGCGGTGGACTCCTCCACCGGATGCGGCCTCCCACTCTTCCTCCGGATTCGCGCACGAGAAAGGGATCCAGAAGAACTCGACGGAGAGGAGAGGAGAAGGCGGCCGGCTGTCCGAACTCCGCCGTGCTTCGTAGAGCGAGGACGCATCCACAGAAAGAAAGCGAGAGCAAGATAGAGTGAGAGAGAGCAGACAGACAAAGGGAGCGAGAAAAGGCGCGAAAGAAAGAGAGATCAATGACAGCCTCACTCTATCACGCGCTCCTCTTTTACGTTCTGCCATTAGGTACGGATCTCCAATTACATTTCTCTCTGGGGTCTGACGTAAATTGTGCCAATTTCTGTTCACGATGTCCATTGAAATGTCGTCGAATCGGTGTGGGCCACGTGTCCCACATCTGCTTAAGTCTCATGCTAACTCGTCGGTTCTGCTTCCACTGTCGACCTGTTGATGGTTTAACTTTTAGCCTCTGAATATTCCGGCCCATTGGGTCACTTGGCTCGGCCCAGCCCAACTCATTCTGATTTTCTTTTATTTTAGACCTTTATTAATTCCTAAAAAATATCAAAAACTCTTAGAAATTATGAGAAATTCTAGAAAAATTCAGAAAATCCAGAATAAATTCTAGAAAATCCTAAAACTCACATAAAAAATATTTCATGCATAATTATTTAAAATTAATTATCTTAAAATAATATTAAAAATATTAAAATGCATGTTTATGTATGAATGAAATCTGAATACGTACGAATTAAATGTAACATGTATTATTTCTATTAATTTTATGCACTAAATATTGATAAATATAAGGTAAATACAGATAATGAAGACTTATCAACCACAACATAATAACTAGACTAAGATGATCTAGTTCAATCGTTTTCATCCACAATATACTATCATTAGTCATTTATTGTCGCACCACATACCCATGAATACAACCTAAAACTCCTTCATACTTCAAAGAATAATGATCATGGTAAAGAATTCACCTATCTTTTTTTCATGAGATCCACACCCCTAATCTAGAGAAGGTAAACTTTTCTAATTGACTTACCCTTTTAAAGGAGCATTAGGCTTTGTTCATTTAAGCATACGTATTTGTGCAATAATCAATGCAGAAAAAGTTTTAAAATATTCATAACATTTTTGAATTTTTTTTGTTCTCCCCCCTACTTGAATGATGCATTATCTCTAATGCATGCAAATGAAGGAAGAGATAACCTCCCCCCTACTTAAGTCTTGCATTGTCCTTAATGCATGTGAGAGAAGGGAAAAGAGAAGAAAATTCTGATTTTTATGCCCCATCTACTACACCGTTGCCCCTGAATGGTTCTAACTAAAGCATTCAACCAATAAAATATGTCTGAAAGAAAAGCTAGTAAGGAAATTGACGTGACTTAGTCGTTGTATATTAAATCATGCAAATATAAAATTTATAAAACTAGAAAATACAATTTTTTTAATATTTAGAAGTATTTCTAAACAAATATATCAATTATAATTCAATAAAAGTTCCAAAAATGGCAGTAATTTTCCAGGTCGATCACAAGGATGTAATATAATATCTGGTAATTATTCAGAATTTTCCTCAGAGAATATTATTTTATATGAATTTTATACTAAGAAATGAAAAGGAAATATATTTAAAATTCACGAAAAAAGGAAATAAGGGTGCGGATGTTAGGATGATGTCAGCGCCCGGCGAATACGATTCGGGTGGAAACAGAGTTCCGCCCGGCAATTCTTACGTAAGTGATTACAGATGATTTAATTAATCAAATTAAGATCTGTAAAAGCCGGAAGAATCGTAATAGAACAAAGTATATTTTGATAAATTAAAATCACAAAAATTATCACTAAATGAAGCGTAAAGTAAGTTGAAAGCAGGAAAACAGAGTTCCGGTGTCGCGACGGCGATGCGTCGGCGATGCATCAGAATCATGAGCATTCAGGAGGATCGTCGCGTAGTGTCCACGGCCTCGAAAGCTCTCCTTGGACAAAGACAACGTGGGCAATCTCTAGATCTTCTCGCGAAGTTTAGAGATTAATGAAATGGGTCGTCGAATCGTCTCCGGTGGCTGTCACCCAACGGAGCAGAAAAATGGCGACTTTGCGGCTCTCCGGCGGCTGTCACCCGACGGAGAGGAGCTAGATGGAGGTGGGGCGCGTGTCAGGGAGCTTCATCCTCAGGTCCGCACAGCAAGAGGAGGCTCTTCATCGCATCTGGTACGCTCTCAGGAGGTGGCGACTCGTCTCCCGACGGATCGTCCTCTTCCCGACGACGGCTTGTTCGTCGATCAATCGGAGATGATTTACTTGATGGATTCACGATCCTTTTATCATGAATCATTCAGCAATTTTAGTAGCAGTGCTCCATGAATCGCATTGACGAGATTTTCGCTGATGATCCAGCGATTCTGGTTGCTTTATCCTTCACCGACAATCTGCAAGAAAGTCACGATAATTAGATAAGAATATATGAATTTTGACTCTAGGAGGATTCGAACCCGCGCCAGTTGTCTGCCCCTTCTGAGGAAGGTGTGATGCGGGTTTAGTCCCACATCGGTTGTGCGCCGATTTTTCAGGCAAATATATAGTAATGTTAGCTTTTTAAGAAAAGTTCCTTCTCTCGCGTGTATGACCACTCCTTGCCCCATAGCTGGCAGGCCACTGGTGACGTGGAAGGGGAGTGGCGCACACGTGCCCCTATCGGTTCAAGCCGCTCGAGCCCCTGCTCGCGGCTACTCCCCGACTGAGCTTCCGACCCGCTTGCGGGACCGGCTGGCCGGCGGGTCCCCCCATTTTGCAATATTTTAGTTTTATTTCTTTTTCTTTATTTATCTCAAAAGTAAGATTGTAAAAATCATATAAATTCGTATAAAATCACATAATTACCTAAAAAATCACATTAATCAATTGAAAACTACTTTTCACACTTTAACACAAATATAAGTCTATTTATCACGAGTTAAGGCTAAAACTATATTATTTACTAATTATTAACTCATGATAATGAAGACTTATCACACCCGCCAACTTAAATCATTGCTAGTCCCTTAGCAATGGAATAAACAAATTAAAAATTTACAAATCTTAAACATCATATTTCAATATAGAAAGAAAAAAAATACAATTAGAAATGATGCACCTTTAGACACTTTGGATTCTTATATCAAGTATTTAAGAATGATGTCAGGCACTTAAATGTTTAAACACTCCTTGGAATAACAATCTAGACTTCACTTCTTCTATTCACATCTTTATCACTTCTTCACTCATAGATGTATTTACAAGATGTTCCAATTATCAATACTCATCCAAGAATAATATTGATCCTACATTTCCCTTTTTCTATGGCTTGATTTTTGAAGTTTGCACTATATTTCTTCTTTCTTTATATATAGTGAATAAGTAGCTTTTCCTGTAGACAAATTTCGACAATAAGAATGATGTCTCACACCCTCCATGTGTACTCTTCATTTTCAGGGCTTTCACTTTATCCACTTATTTTACAGCAAATGTTTTTCTATACACGATTTTCAACAATGAGAATGATGTCTCACACCCTCTATGTGTACTCTTCGTTTCTAGATTTTTCACATTGCTCTCTCTTTTTTTTTTCGAAATAAGTGATTTCTCCTCACAAGTCCTATAGATCAGGGTGCAAAAATCTCCATTAAACTCAAATGATCAATCAAATTTTCACATCAAGTAAATATTATCCATCAAGATCATGAAGTGAAAATCTGTAAAATCAAATCTATGTTGTCTATCATGTATCCAAGGAGTATTCTAACATTTCATGCTACTAGATCATTCTTTTGACTCAATAATAATCTTCCTAGTATCTTTTGGTATCAATCAATCTAATTGATTTAATGCATGCAATATGATGTAAGAAATTTGTAAATTAGATAGTTTTGATAGTTCTGTTTTCTGTTTTCAGTTCTATTTTAGCAGCAATAAATTTGTCAAAAATAAATCAAAACTATCTTCTTTATAGCTGTAATTTCGAATTTCAGTAATATATGTCTAGGGGATTGAAATGTGAGAAAAGGGTCTCTATAATTTAAAATTTCAGGTTGTTTTTTCGTCTACTGTTTTTGATAGTTTGTTGTTCCTGACAGAAAACCAGAAAATAGATGTTGCAGTTTTTCTGAATTTTATTTTATTTTTATTTTTTTAGTTGCTGTTCTAAGTTGAATAAAATGCAAACACATGTTCTTAATCGTCTTACAGCATAAATTAATAATGAATACTTCACCCCCCAACTTAAAAATTACATTGTCCTCAATGACACAGAAAAATCGAAACAGAATATGCAGAAAATAGAACTTTCAAGTGAAGCATGCATATCTACAAAGTTAAGCATTAAAAATATTTTCATAAATGATGAAGCTCAGAAAGACATTACCTCAACCTCGTTTTTAATTTTCCACTTCATCTTACACTCCTCCTCCTGCACTTTTTCAAAAAAAACAAATACAGAAACAAGTACTACGAAATTCTAAGAAAAACAGAGCTTTAAAAAAATCAAACAGAATGAAATAAAAACCATGGGTTGCCTCCCATGCAGCGCTGAATTTAATGCCTCCAATTGGACTCCTTGATCTTACTCTTGAATTTCTTCTAATAATAAAATTTCTTTTTTTGCAAGGTGTTCATGTTCTATGTAATGTTTAAGCCGCTGTCCATTTACCTTAAAGTTATGATCACTTTTAGGATCTTTAATCATTACAGCCCCATGATCATATGTCTCTTCCACCACATAAGGCCCTTTCCATTTTGATTTTAATTTTCCTGGGAATAATTTCAGCCTAGAATCATATAACCACACTTTTTGTCCAACATCAATTTTTTTTCTGCTAATGTATTTATCATGAAAAGTTTTAGTTTTTTCTTTATATATTCTATGATTTTCATAAGTTTCATTCCTCAACTCTTCTAGTTCATGTAGCTGAAAAATTCTATGCCCACCAGCTGATTTCTCATCCATACATAAATTTTTTATAGCCCATAATGCTTTATGTTCTATTTTCACAGAAAGATGACATGGCTTTCCAAAAATGAGACGAAATGGGGACATACCTATGGGATTTTTATAAGCTGTATAAGCCCATAATGCATCTTGTAATTTCGTGGGCTAATCTTTCCTATCTGGTCTAACTATTTTTCTCAAAATTATCTGAATTTCCCTATTTGCTACTTCAGCTTGCCCATTTGTTTGGGGATGATATGGAGTGGCTACTCTATGGTGTACTCAATTCTTTTTCAACAGTTCCCTGAAATGTTTATTTGTAAAATGTGTTCCTTCATCACTAATAATCACTCTAGGACATCCAAATCTCGAAAAAATATTTTCCTGCACAAATTTCATCATGATTTTATGATCATTAGTTCTAGTAGGAATAGCTTCCACCCACTTCGACACATAATCAACAGCAAGCAAAATATATTCATATTTTTCAGTTGATGGGAAGGGACCCATGAAATCTATTCCCCATACATCAAAAATTTCGACTACTAACATGTTACTCAAGGGCATTTCATCTTTTTTACTCATGTTACCTATAGATTGGCATGAAATACATGTTCTACTAAATTCTACAGAATCTCTAATGATTGTAGGCCAATAAAAACCACACTGAAAATTTTTTGCAACTGTTTTCCGTCCAGAGAAATGTCCTCCACGGTTAGATGAATGGCACATGTTAATAATGCTATGATATTCTTCTTCAGGAGCACATCTCCTTAAAATTTGATCATTGCCCAAGTAATATAAATCAGGATCATGCCAAAAATAATTTCTAATCTTAGAAAAGAAATGATGTTTTCTGTTCTTATCCCACTGTTCTGGAGTTTTTCCAGAAACCAGAAAATTAACAATATGTGCATACCATGGTGATGGTTGATGTTGAGCTGCCATCAATTGTTCATCTTGAAATGCGTCTTGTAAAGGTGCTGCATTTATTCCTGTATCACTTAATCTAGAAAGATGGTTAGCAACAACATTCTCGAAACCTTTTTTATCTTTTATTTCTAAGTCAAATTCCTGCAACAATAAAATCCATCTTAATAAACGTGGCTTTGCATCTTTCTTATTTAACAGATATTTTAATGCTGCATGATCAGTATAAATAATAATTTTAGCTCCCAAAATATATGATCTAAACCTTTCTAATGAAAATACTACAGCTAACAACTCTTTTTCAGTCATGGTATAATTTAATTGAGCATCGGATATAGTTTTACTAGCATATGAAATTACTATGGGTTTTGACTCTTTTGTTTGTCCTAGAACAGCCCCCACTGCATAATTCGATGCATCACACATTATTTCAAAAGGAAGGGACCAATCAGGAGCTTGTAAAATGGGTGCCTCAATAAGTAATCTTTTTATTTCAGAAAAAGACTCAAAGCATTTCTCATCAAAATTAAAAGGCACATCTTTAGATAATAGCATGGTGAGAGGTTTAGAAATGTTCAAAAAATCCTGAATAAATTTTCTGTAATAACCTGCATGACCCAAGAAAGATCTAATCTACTTTACTGAATTTGGAGGTTTCATTTTAGATATAATATCAATTTTTGCTCTATCCACCTCTAAACCCCTTTCACTCACAATATGACCCAACACAACTCCCTCTTTAACCATAAAATGTGATTTCTCCCAACTCAAAACTAATTTTTTCTTTATGCATTTCTCAAGTACATGCTGTAAATGATTTAAGCATTCATCAAAAGATTTGCAAAAAACAGAAAAATCATCCATAAAAATCTCCATGCATTTTCCAATCATATCAGAAAAAATAGACAATATACATCTTTGAAATGTGGTTAGAGCATTACACAGACCAAAAGGCATGCGTTTAAAAGCAAAAGTACTAAATGGACAAGTGAAAGTTGTTTTTTCTTGATCTAAAGGGTTTATATAAATTTGATTATAACTAGAGTATCCATCTAGAAAACAAAAAAAGTTTTTTTCAGCTAATTTTTCTAGAATTTCATCAGTAAATGGTAGGGGAAAATGATCTTTTCTAGTAACTGAATTTAATTTTCTATAATCAATACAAACCCTCCAACCAGTAGTTAATCTTGTTTGTATTTCATCCCCATTTTCGTTTTTTATAACTGTGATCCCTGATTTTTTTGGCATCACTTGTGTAGGACTAACCCATTTGCTATCTGAAATAGGATAAATAATATCAGCAGCCAGCCACTTTAAAATTTCTTTTTTTACAATTTCCATCATGTTAGGATTTAATCTTCGTTGTGGTTCCCTGCTAGTTCTAGCCCCTTCCTCTAGATATATACTATGCATGCATACACTCATATCAATGCCCCTTAGATCATCCATTTTCCAGCCCATAGCCTTCTTATTTTTTCGAAGTACATCTAATAATTCTTCTTCCTGTTCATCACTCAAATCAGCTGCAATAATAATAGGAAATGAATTATTTTCCTCCAAAAACATATATTTTAAACTAGAGGGAAGAGGTTTCAACTCTAAATTCAAATGATCTTCCTCTTTCTTTTCTTCTAAATTTATATTCTCTATTTCCTCTAATTCTTCCAGCACACAGTCATCAATAACATCTGGATCATCAAAATCATCTAGAAGATCTATGGTATGACAATCATATACTTGGGATTTCTTAAGATCATTTGATACCTCAAAAATTTTAATTTCTACTGATTGATCTCCACATGAAATTTTCGCAATACCTGTGGAAAAATCAATATTCATCTTTGCTGTATGTAAAAATGGTTTCCCTAGGATGATTGGTGTATCATAAAACTATCCATTAAGATCCATTTCCAGCACTACAAAATCAGCTGGAAATTTACACCCTTTAACTATCACTATCACATTTTCTAAAATACCTTTAGGATGTTTTATGGATCTATCAGCAAATTGTAAGGTAACAGTAGAAGGTTTAAGATCAGAAATATTAAATTTATCACAAATACTTGCAGGTAATAAATTAATACTAGCATCGGTGTCAAGTAATGCATTCTAAAAAATGAATCCATCAATATCACACGAAATTAAAGGGACACCTGTATCTCTCAATTTATATGGTAATTGATTTAATAATAATGCACTAGCATGCATAGATAATTTTTCTACTCTAGGTGCCCTTTTTGGTGTACACATTTCTTTCAAAACTCTAACATATTCAGGAATATGTTCAATGGCAGTGAGTAAAGGAAAACTAATTTGCACATCTTGTAAAATTTTCTTTATTTCTTCATTGTGTTCCTTTTTCTTTCTTTGTCTAGGCTCTAGAGCTCTAGGAAATGGAATGGTCGTCCTCTCTTTCAAAATTTCCTTGGTAGAATCTATAAAATCCTCTTCCACTCCTATTTGATTTTATTTTGGTTTGTCCACATTTTCTTTTTCTTCTAATGTTTGGAGATAAGGATCAAGTAAGATCTTACCACTCCTTAATGCATTCACTGTCCTAACATTTTCATTTCGTGGGTTTTTTCCTAGATTCATGCTACTAGACTCCCCTTGCTGAAATCCTACTGTTGGGCGGTTCCCTGAATTTTCTATGGGCTGACTAGGTAGCTGTCCCTCTTCTCTCTTATTCTCAAGAGCCTCTATAATTTGTTTCTGGTGCAGCATCATTTGATTCATAGTTTGTTGCATCATTTGGCTCATTTGCTGCATCATTTCCATAGCATCAGGTTGGATTTGAGAGGACTCATTTTTCTGAAATCTGTTTTCTTGTTTTGGACGAAATTCAGAGTTTGAATTGGGTCTAAGTGCTTCTGAATTTTGAATATTATTTGGGTCTCTCCATGAAAAATTATTCCTCCAATTAGGATTATAAGAATTTGAAAAAGGTTCCCTGTTTCTATTAAAACCGTGAGCTACTTGCACTTGTTCTTGCATAGGGTGAAATGATTGATCTAAATTATAACATTGAAATTCAAAATAATCATTTTCATCATACATAGGACATGTACTATTCGAATTAAGTTGAGGGTTAAAAGGCTTTCTAATATTATCAATAAGTAAATCAATTTTTTCTAATCTTTGATTAATCTGATTAACCTCATTTCTAAGTTTAGAATCATCATCATGATGCAATTCATAAATTCCTCTCTTCTTATCCCTGTCATATAATTCAAAAGAGACTTGATCTCTAAAATTTTCACTTAAATTCTCATAAAGATTGTAAATCTCATCAGGAGTTTTTTCCATAAAAGCTCATCCACATATAGAATCAACCATATTTCTATGTTGTTCTAATACTCCATCATTAAAAATTCTATTGAGCTACCACTTGGGTATAGCATGATGAGGACACTTTCTAAGTAAATCTTTGAATTTTTCCCATGTCTCATGCAAAGTTTCTCCTAGTCTTTGAGAAAAACTCCATATATGTTTTCTCATATTTTGAGTTTTTCCTAAGGGATAAAATTTTCAAAGAAAGGCCTATTCTATATCTTTCCAGCTAATTAATTTTCTATCTAATGTGGATAGCCAATGGCTAGCTTTGTCCCTAAGTGTATGAGGGAATAATTTCATCTTAATAATTTCCGGTGTAACTTGAGGGAGATTAACTAAATCACAGACCATATGAATTTTTTCTAAGTGCTGATGAGGTTCCTCTAAAGGCAATCCATGAAAATTAGGGAGCATTTGAAAAATTCTTGGATTTATTTCGAATTTAATAGTGGGTGCTAATGGGACTCTAATATTAGATGCTCTTTGAAATGAATCAGGGATATAATGATTTTTCATGGCCATAGGATTGTTCTCAGTTTGACCTATACTTCCTTCAAGATCCATTAAAATTAATTTTTCTTTCGGATTTTTATTTTTGAATGAAATAATGAAAGGATTTTCTAGCCTTGGATGCAAGGATTTTCTAGCCTTGGATGCAAGGATCTTCTACCATGCATAAAAATCAATAAACTCGAGGGAAAAAGTTTAGTAACTGTTACCCTCCTTCAAGATGCTCCAGTCCTTGCCTTGCTTCTTTTCGTTCCCTTTTTGTAATAAAAAATCGGCAAAAATAAAATAAAATAAGAGTTAAATTTTTTCTTTTTTTTTGTGTACTCTAAGAGAAAAACAGAAAAATACTAAATATTATGCAATACATCCCCAGCAACAGCACAAAAATTTGACGTGACTTAATTGTTGTATATTAAATCACGCAAATATAAAATTTATAAAACTAGAAAATACAAATTTTTGAATATTTAAAAGTATTTCTGAACAAATATATCAATTATAATTCAATAAAACTTCCAAAAATAGTGGTAATTTTATAGGTCAATCACAGGGATGTAATATAATATCTGGTAATTATTCAGAATTTTCCTCAGAGAATAATATTATATATGAATTATATACTAAGAAAGGAAAAGGAAATATATTTAAAATTCATCAAAAAAGGAAATAAGGGTGCGGATGTCAGGATGACGTCAGTGCTTGGCGAATGTGAATCGGGCGGAAACAGAGTTCCACCCAGCGATTCTTACGTAAGCGATTACACACGATTTAATTGATCAAATTAAGATCTGTAAAAGCCGGAAGAATCGTAATAGAACAAAGTATATTTTGGTAAATTAAAATTACAAAAACTATCACTAAATGAAGCGTAAAGTAAGTTGAAAGCAAGAAAACAGAGTTCCGGCATCGCGATGGTGATGCGTCGGCGATGCACCGGAATTCTGAGTGTTCGGGAGGATCATCGTGTAGTGTCCACGGCCTCGAAGGCTCTCCTTGGACAAAGACGACGTGGGCAATCTCTAGATCTTCTCGCAAAGTCTAGAGATTAATGAAATGGGTCGTCGAATCGTCTCCGGTGGCTGTCACTTGGTGGAGCGGAAAAACGGCGACTTTGCGGCTCTCCGGTGGCTGTCACCCGACGGAGAGGAGCTGGATGGAGGTGGGGCGCGTGTCAGGGCGCTTCATCCTCAGGTCCGCACAGCAAGATGAGGCTCTTCATCGCATCTGGTATGCTCTCAGGAGGTGGCGACTCGTCTCCTGGCGGATCATCCTCTTCCTGATGACGGCTTGTTCGTTGATCAATCGAAGATGATTTACTCAATGGATTTGCGATCCTTTTATCATGAATCATTCACCAATTTTAGTAGCAATGCTCCGCGAATCACGTTGACGAGATTTTCGCCGATGATCTAGCGATTTTCGTTGCTTAATCCTTCACCGGCGATCTGCAAGAAAGTCGCGATAATCAGATAAAAATATATGAATTTTGACTCTAGGAGGATTCGAACCCGTGCCGATTGTCCGCCCCTTCTGAGGAAGGTGTGACGCGGGTTTAGTCCCACATCGGTTGTGCGCCGATTTTTCAGGTGAATATATAGTAATGTTAGCCGGCTAGCCACTCCTTGCCCCATAGCCGGCTAGCCACCGGTACGACCACTCCTTGCCCCATAGCTGGCTAGCCACCGGTGACGTGGAAGGGGAGTGGCGCACACGTGCCCCTATCGGTCCAAGCTAAGCCGCTCGAGCCTCTACTTGCGGCTACTCCCCAACTGCACTTCCGACCCGCTTGCGGGCCTGGCTGGCCGGCGGGTCCCCCCTCTTTTTGTCTTATTTTTATTTCTTTTTCTTCATTTATCTCAAAAGCAAGACTGTAAAAATCATATAAATTTATGTAAAATTACATAATTACCTAAAAGTTCACATTAATCAACTGAAAACCACTTTTCACACTTTAACACAAATATAAGTCTATTTATCATGAGTTAATGCTAAAACTATATTATTTACTAATTATTAACTCATGATAATGAAGGCTTATCAAAAATGCATAAAAAGAAATGATAGTTCTCCTCAAGATAAATTATGTGCATACACACAAATAGATCAAGTCCTCAAATATCTGCTAGAGACCAGCCAATCACCTCTCTCTATGTCCTAAGTACATCAAGTAATTTATTCTCTTGATCCTTAGACAAATACTTTATTAAGGGACTAGCAATGATTTAAGTTGGGGGTTGTGATAAGTCTTCATTATCATGAGTTAATAATTAGTAAATAATATAGTTTTAGCCTTAACTCGTGATAAATAGACTTATTTTTGTGTTAAAGTGTGAAAAGTGGTTTTCAGTTGATTAATATGATTTTTTGGGTAATTATATGATTTTATACGAATTTATATGATTTTTACAGTCTTACTTTTGAGATAAATGAAGAAAAAGAAATAAAACTAAAATATTGCAAAATGGGGGGACCCGCGCGGCCAGCTGGACCCGCAAGCGGGTCGGAAGCGTAGTCGGGGAGTAGTCGTGAGCAAGGGCTCGAGTGGCTTGAACCGATGATGTTGGCAGATGTGCACCACTCCCCTTTCACGTCACTAGTGGCCAGCCGGCTGTGGGGCAAGGAGTGGTCGTACACGCGCACTTGATCGGGAATGTAATATTACTTTATATTCACCAGAAACTTTGGCACACAAGCGATGTGGGACTAAACCCGCGTCACCTTCTTTAGAAAGGGCGGGCAACCGGCGCGGGTTTGAATCCTCCCAGAGCCAAAACTCATATTTTTATCTGATTATCGCGACTTTCCTGCAGATCACCGGTAAAGGATTAAGCAACCAGAATCACTGGATCATCGGCGAAAATCTCGTCAATGCAATTCGCGGAGCATTATTACTCAAATTGCTGAAGGATTCGCGATAAAAGGATCGTGAATCTATCGAGTAAATCATCTCTGATTGATCGACGAACAAGCTGTCGTCAGGAAGAGGACAATCTGCCGAGAGACGACTTGCCACCTCCTAAGAGCGTACCAGATGCGATGAAGAGCCTCCTCTTGCTGCGTGGACCTGAGAATGAAGCTCCCTAACACGCGCCCCACCTTCATCCAGCTCCTCTCCGTCGGGTGACAGCTGCCGGAGAGCCGCAAAGTCGCCGTTTTTTCGCTCTACTGGGTGACAGCCACTGGAGACGATTCGACGACCCATTTCATTAATCTCTAGACTTCGAGAGAAGATCTACAGATTGCCCACGTTGTCCTTGTCCAAGGAGAGCCTTTGAGGTCGTGGACACTGCACAACGATCCTCCCGAACACTCAGAATTCTCGTGCATCGCTGACGCATCGCCGCCGCGACGTCGGAACTCTGTTTTCCTACTTTCAACTTAATTTCTGTTTCATTTAGTGATAATTTATTGATTTTAAATTTGCCAACATATACTTCATTTCATTACGATTCTTCCGTCTTTTACAGATCTTAATTTGATCAATTAAATCATCTTTAATCGCTTAGGTAAGAATCACTAGGCGGAACTCTATTTTCACCAAATTCGCGTTCGCCGGGCACTAACATCATCCTGACGCCCGCACCCTTGTTTCCTTTTTTTGTGAATTTTAAATATATTTCCTTTTCATTTCTTAGTATAAAATTCATAGAAAATCGTATTCATTGAGAAACAAGTCTGAATAATTACCAAATATTATATTACATCCCTATGATCGACCTGGAAAATTACCGCTATTTTTGGAAGTTTTATTGAATTATAATTGATACATTTGTTCAGAAATACTTCTAAATATCTAAAAAATTGTATTTTCTAGTTTTATAAATTTTAAATTTCTGTGATTTAATATACAATGACTGAGTCACGTTAAATTTTGGCGCCAT